CTGAAGCAATCTCTGGGCTCTGGGCTGTCAGCACAAAGCCCTACGTGGGGCTTGAACTCATGAATCGCGAGGTCATGACCTAAGCTGAAGTCAGATGCTCAACAGCTCAACCGACTGAGCCACCCAGAGCACCCAAGTTTTTAATTTTAATGAAGGGCGGTTTATCATTATTTCTTTCATGGGTCATGTCACTGGCATTGTATCTAAAAAGTCATTGCCTTATCCGAAGTTACATACATTTTCTTCTATGTTATCTTCTAGTAGTTTTATAGCTTAGTGTTTTACATTTAGGTCAATAATCCATTTTGAGTTAATTTTTGTGACAGGTATAATGTCTGTGTCTAGATTCATTTTTTTTTTTTTTTTGCATATGGGTGTCTAATAGTTTCAGCACCATTTGTTGAGAACATTCCATTGTAGATATATAACATTTTAAACTACAAAGTGCTGGAGAAAAAAAAGAAAAATGGAAGATATATATCAACAACCAGTAGAAGTAGATAATCATGATCATTACAGAAAAATCACAAAAATTTATTGTGATAAAAAAAAGAAACAATAATTGCACTACTGGAGACTTCTGCACTAAGCTGTTTTTTGTTTTGTTTTTTTTTTTTCTGGCTTTGCCTGCATGAAACGTCTTCATAATAAAAGTGGTAAGTGTGCCAGAGTAACTTTGATTTTCTTGGCGCAAAGTAAAATTATTTATGAATCAAATATTTGAGAGGCAGGATAGCATAGCATTAAGCAAATGAGTTCCAGAACTAGAATGTCTCAGCTCAAATCCTGATTCTAGTAATGTAATTTTGATGATTTACTTCGTCTCTCTGTGCTTTAAATAGTTCACCAGTTAAGTGGATAATATAAGGATAGCACCTATCACCTCGTAGATTTTTCTGATGATTGAATGAGTTAATTTTCAAAAAGCAATTAGAATAGTGCCTGGCATGTATTGCACACCCAATAAACGTTGGCCATTTTTTAAAAATTTTTTAATGTTTTATTTATTTTTGAGAGAGAGGGAGACAGAGTGCAAGCTGGAGAGGGGCAGAGAGAAAGGGAGACACAGCATCTGAAGCAGCTTCCAGGCTTTGAGCTGTCAGCACAGAGCACGACAAACCCACGAACTGCAAGATCACGACCTGAGCTGAAGTCCAGTACTCAACCAACTGAGCTACCCAGGTGCCCCAAATGCTGGCCATTATTAAGTGCCAGATACTAGTGAGAGTAGTGCAGACATAAAGTATAGTCTCTGCCCTCATGGAATTTCCATTCTAATGAGGATATTTTTAAAAACCCTAAGTGCCTCATGGGGCTAGATAATCTACTTAAATACAGAGCTACTTGAGTAGTAGTTCTCAAAGTGTATTCTGTAGGTTCCTTTAAAGGTGTTCATGAGATCAAAGTTATTTTCATAATACTAAGACATCATTTGCCTTTTTCACCCTATTGACATTTGCACTGATGATGCAGAAGCAACAGTGGGTAAAATTGCTGGTACCTCAGCATAAGTCAAGGCAGTGACAAGCAAACTGTCGTAGTAGTTCTTGTATTCCTCACTGTTATATACCTATTTTAAACAAAAATGAATGAAATGAGTGTCACTTTGAGGAAGACAACTCATTGTACTTGTTACTAATGAAAATTAGAGCACTTAAGAGAAAATCGGAATCTTGAAAAATTCATCAAGATTGTATCAAGGTTGGAAAAAAAGATTGTATCAACTAGCATAAGCTTAACAACTCCCCAATACTTATAAGATTTTTTTTTATTAAGATAGATTAACACCATCATTTTTTTCTATTGGTTAATGAAATAGGTCAACATTTGGAAGTTCTGCGTTACTTAGAGAACCAGTATTTTCCAAATGACCAACATATAATGTTTCAGAATCATGCATGGATAGCAGGTCCATTCAAAATACAAGCTAGACAAGTGGTTCTTAACAAATTTCAAAAAAAAAATCACTGATGGTTTCAAATTCCACATCATAACTTACCTTTAAGAAACTGTACCACTTGTCAAGTTCGTGTATACTATCAAAGAAGAACTTTCACATCTAAGAAGTTATTAAAAGACCTCTTATTTTCCCACTACATAACTGTGTGAGGCCTGCTTTTCTTCATATACTTCAAGTAAACAACATATCACAACATATTGATGGCAGATGCAGATATGAAAATCTAGTTAACTTATCTTCTTAAGCCAGACATTTAAGAGATTTGCAAAAATGTAAAATAATGCCATTCTTCTAATAGTTTTATTTTTTTTTTAAATTTTTTAGTGTTTATTTTTGAGAGAGAGAGAGAGAGAGCACAAGCAGGGGAGGAGCAGAGAGAGAGGGAGACACAGAATCCGAAACAGGCTCCAGGTTCCGAGCTGTCAGCACAGAGCCCGAGTGGGGCTTGAACTCACAAACTGTGAGATCATGACCTGAGCAGAAGTTTGACACTGAACTGACTGAGCCACCCAGGTGCCCCTAATATTTTAGTTTTAGAAATATGGTGATTTTTCATGAAATATGTATCATTTATATTAAAATGGATTAGGCTTATACTTTTATTTTTTTAGGCTCATTCTTTTAAATGACTTTTTAAATTTCTAATTTTTAGGAGACATGTAGCAACTATTACCAAATATAACCCACACGAACAAAAACTCTTCGTAATCCTTAATAATTATTAAGATTCTAGATAGTCTTGATTCCACAACCCTAGGGTCATGACTTGAGCTGAAATCAAGAGTTGGATGCTCAACCAAGTGAGACACCCGGGAGCCTTGCAGTGCAGGAATATTAGCCTAATATTGCCAGATCATCCAATTTGTGGAATTGGAAACTCTCAATCGTGTATTTTATCTCAAATTAAAAACAAACAAACACTGTACCAGACCATCAGTTTTCAATCTATGGTCTACCAAATAAGAAAATCGATAGCTGGAGACCCATCTGCCTGTTTATCCACGAACAATACAAACCTATTTTTTCCTGGTATATTTACTATGAGGTATAAGATTATACTTATAGATCTGTAATGTTATAGAGATTTTAACATTCAGAAATGTAGTCAACCCCTTATTTGAGGGAATAAAAAATAATTCAAGTAGCAAAAGATTATAGTTTAGCAAAGGCCATAGTTTCGTATCCTGGACACACAGGCACAAGAGCATCTGGCTCAAGGGATCCCAAACACAGGAGGTTCAGCCACTTGCCACTGACAAAATCCAAAGGCAGAGAGACCAGCAATGGTAAAACAAGAAAGGAATGTATGTCAGTAAGGCCAACACCCGGAAGACAGCAGACTAGCATCTCAAAGACTATCCCCAAAGTGCTGAAAATTACTTCTTGGGTTCATGTAAGTAAAATGTGAGACAAAGGTCAGTAAGTATGTGCAAGTGGGTAGCAAAGGTCAGGTCAACCATTATCTCGGGGGTCAAATACAGATGGGGTCTTGCTGGCTCAGGACAGTCCTTATTGTTTGAGGGGGTAGTTTCAGTTCCCATCACAGGATGGTTTGCCAGCAGGATCTTTTGCCTGACTTAAGAGATACGCTGGAAAGATGAACTTAATCAATAGAAAGTTTGAGATCAAAATGAAGGTAGCTGAAGTCCTCTTTCAGTTTAGCTAGTCAATAAGGAGTAATGCATTCACTGACTGGCTAGACTATGAAGAATATAACTGGATGAAGCTTACTTAAGTGTGGTTCTAAATAAGGACTAAATGAGGACAGCTACTGTTTCCAAATAAGGATTGCTTTTTGAATGAGTACTTTGATTTGACCACTCGAGTTGCCTTCTGTATGAAATGAAGTCTATCTCTCCTTGCTCATTTCTTATTCTTCTGCAGTTAATACACACCTCATACAAAATTAGAGTGATACACTTTACTGCTTTACTTTGTGTGTCCCTGCATGAATCATGCACCTCAAGGACAGGAATGTGTCAGTGTGATATTCCCAGCACCAGGCACAGTGGGTGACACAAATTATAAATTCAATTTTTATAGTACTTGGAGATCTATTAGGTGGCTTACTTTATACCAGTCCCTCTAATTTGTGCTGGGGGATCAAACGATGAATGAGAACACTCTTCTTCATCTCTGTAATGAGAAATAAAGGAAGGCAGCCACCCCCTGCATGGAACAGTAAACAGACAATTCTTAAAGTTTTGTTGTTGTTGACGGTGGGGGCGGTGGGGAGACACAAGTCGGGGAGGGACAAAGTGAGAGGTGAACACTCCCAAGCAGAGCTGAAAGCAGGGCTCCAACTCACAAAGTGTGAGACCATGACCTGAGGGAAAATCAAGAGTCAGATGCTTAATGACTGAGCCACCCAGGAGGCCCTACAATTCTTTATAGTAATGGTAACCACACACAAATAGAAAAGCCTGATGAATTTTTTTTTAAGTAGGTTCCAGGCACAAAGTGGGGCTTGAACTCAGGATCCAGACATCAAGAGTTGCATGCTCTGATTGATGACTGAGCCGACCAGAAAAGGATTTACACTGAAGCCTGTAAGATATATAGCGGAATTTTGGTTCCCATGTGAACTCCTACCAACTCCTATCCACTCTCACAACAGAAGTTATTTGGAGTACCAAAGAAATTGACGTGCAAACTCATAAGCAGTTGCAGTTGAAGGATTCCAACCCGGGAACCTCGAGACACAAAGATCGACGGCTCGCGATACCCACCCGAGCCGAAGCAGTCTGTGCTGCCATGCACTACCCAGCTCCCACTTACCCGATACCCGCTCCCTTCCTCCTCCCCACCCCTCCTAGCCCCGTCCTTTCCCAGCCCTTTCCCTTTCCCCTCCTTTCCTTCCTTCCCCATACAACCTAGGCGAACTTCCTACTCCCCAACCTGCCAAACCTCCTGCGACGCCCAGGGAAGTGCCCGCTCCACCCCACCCCCCACTCGCTCCGCCTCTAACGTCCAGCCCTTTCAACTTCTTCCTCTCGGAGTCTGCAAAACCCTGCCTTCAAATTCCCCTCCCGACGAACCGGAAGTGCGTCATGCAGAGGCGCCGAGGCGCTCGTTTGGCGCGCGCGCCCTAAGCTGCGGGTCTGAGTTAGGGTCTTGGGTTTTCTCTTCTTTCTCCTTGGTTCTTGACTATTTCCGGACGCTGGTGTCTCCGAACTTCGACATGCCGTCTTCTTTACTAGGCTCGGCGATGCCGGCCTCCACGTCGGCCTCAGCCCTGCAGGAAGCTCTGGAAAATGCAGGGCGGCTCATCGACCGTCAGTTGCAAGAAGACCGCATGTACCCGGACCTTTCCGAGCTTCTCATGGTGTCTGCCCCAAGTGAGTGATCAGTGCCCATTTGGTGGTAACTGCTTTCTCAGCCGAAAGGACTCTCGCCTGAATTCCTAACTAGGTCTTTATCCCCAGGGTGGACTCGGCGAAGACGTTTTGAGATTTGGGGCCCTGTTCGCTACATTTTGAAGAGCAAAAAGAGCCTGTTTTCAGTTTATTTTCTTCCTCACTTCACTGCCGATATTTGAGAGGGTAGGAGTGACGAGCACTCTGCCATTTGAAGCAGAGGGAAAGACCCCAACCTTAATGAGCTGCTCACTGCCTCCAAGTGTTCATCACAGAGGCCAGATGAGTAGGATCACCTGATCTAAGTCTCATTCTTGTTAATTCCTCCTATTAACATTAGAGTAAATCAGACGAGCAAATGAAATTAATTTGAAAATTTACCATCTTTCTCAAAGATATTCTTTATTACGTGTAGAGTTAGTGTAATATAAAGTCTTAATATGAAGGTTGTTAAAAAGAACTACCGCTGGAATAAAGGAAGAGAATGGGGATATTAGCAGTGATGATGGACAGGGAGGGTAAGGCAGTGTATGTGTCAACAAAAGAGAGGTGACTGGAAAACATTTTAATGATTTTAAATTATGACTAGGCTCCTCAAGGCATATAGAATTACATAAGTTGCTAAAAAAAAAGTGACCCCTTTTTGAGACGGATATGGGAGAAAAGCAGAGAAGTGTAAGATAGAGACAAGATTTGGGGTAAGCAATAACCAAGGTAAAATAACAAGGACTATCTGTGCAATGGAAACCTAAACGACACTTCTGACAATTTATAAAAATCGTTGAGTAGGCTTGTAGTCAGAGAAAAGATAGAAACAGAACAAATTTAGTACTGTCCCTGACTGCTACTTACTGGTGAGCTTGTCTTCTAAGAACTGAGTGGCCTATTAGCAACACTCATCTTGAAGAGCATTACTCTCTTTGACCTCCTCAGGTTTGAAAACCAAGATGTAAAAACAGTGGATACATTCGAGTACTCTTATCTGACCCCAATCGATTCTATCCACCTTTACACATACCTCTTCAACCTAATCTTCTCAGCTTTGTTCCAGTCACACAGAATTTAACATGTTTTTCATAAGAGGCCCTTTCTTCAGGATGCTTTTATGTCATCATTTACTTCGCATCTGGAATTTTCTTCTTTGCTTGACATTCCTCCAAAGTTCGTTAAGTATCACTTCCTTTGTGAGGGGTTTCTTAACCATTCACATCCTCACTTGAGTTATTAATTCCATCCTTTGTGTTCCCACTGCCATTTATCATGTCCTGTTAATATTTAACATTTCCACTTAGCAATATCCTGTTAAAATTAGTATGTTTTAAGATTAAATGGGATGTCTGGGATTTCCTCCAAAAAAATTCATTAGAGGGGCACCTGGGTGGCTCAGTTGGTTAAGCGTCCGACTTCAAATCATGTCATGATCTCATGGTTTGTGAGCTCCCTGCCATTGGGCTTTGTGCTGACAGCTGAGAGCCTGGACCCTGCTTCGGATTCTGTGTCTCCGTCTCTCTCTGCCATTCCCTTGCTTGTGCTGTCTCTCACTTTCTTTCAAAAATAAGCATTAAAGAAATCCATTAGAAAAGGAGTAGCTAGGGATATAAATGAAACCTGATTGGACATGTTATTAGTAATATTGAAGCTGGGTAATCAATCGGTACATAGGAATTGATTGCATTTTTCTCTCTCATATATTTTAAATTTCCATAATACATTTAGAATTTCTTTTTTTGTTGTTTATTTATTTATTTTGAGAGAAAGAGCGTGGGCTGGGGAGGGACAGAGAGAAAATCCCAAGCAGGATCCATGGTGACACCTTGGAGCCTAAAGTCAGGCTCACCAATCGTGAGATGACCTGTGCCAAAATCAAGACCTAGATGCTTAACCTACTGAGTCACCCAGGTACCCCTAGAATTTCTTTTATATGTCAGTTTTCCCCAACATCTTTGTACTTAGAGCCTGGAAAGGTGCCTGGATAAAAAGGTCATGAGATCTAAAGAATACCTCCCTGTTCAAGACATAGGAAATAGATCAGCCCACTCCTGCCCTTAGTTGTCTGTGTCTTAAAGCAAGAGAAAGGTTGCCAAGTGAGAACACTTTATAGAGCAGTCTGTGGTTTCCCCCAATAAAATACTGCTTATGTGGCATCATATGTATTTATCTTATTGGTGTGGGAGGGGTGGTCTAACAAAAATAAAAACACAAGGATTGTTTTAATCTATTAATATTGAGGTGGGAAAGGAAATAGCTATTTCCCCCATCAATATTTTTTTTTTGTTCATGGTTGTTTCATTTGACAGTCACAAAGTAGTTTTATAAATATTTTCCCATTTCAGATTAGTAAAATAATAGAAAGAAACTAAATTATTGAACTAAATATATCCTTACTTACAGAGTAAGTCTTTGTGAAGGATAACTGTCTGGTTAGTGCTGAAACCAGTAATTAGCCCTCTTTTAACACTGGATTTTCTCAGGCCTCTTTTGTATTGGATCAGAATTACTTTATTTTCTATTTTTTTAATGTTTATTTATTTTTGAGAGAGAGTGTGAGTGGGGGAGAGGCAGAGAGAGAGAGGGAGACACAGAATCTGATTCAGGCTCCAGGCTCTGAGCTGTCAGCACAGAGCCCGATGCGGGGCTCGAACCCTTGAACCATGAGATCACGATCTGAACCAAAGTCAAACGCTCAACTGACTGAGCCACCCGGGTGCCCCTTCTCTATACCTTTATAAATTTTTTTTTTTCAACGTTTATTTATTTTTGGGACAGAGAGAGACAGAGCATGAACGGGCGAGGGGCAGAGAGAGAGGGAGACACAGAATCGGAAACAGGCTCCAGGCTCTGAGCCATCAGCCCAGAGCCCGACGCGGGGCTCGAACTCATGGACCGTGAGATCGTGACCTGGTTGAAGTCGGACGCTTAACCGACTGCGCCACCCAGGCGCCCCATTCTCTATACCTTTATAACTATCAGATACACAATTTTTTTTGTAGCTTGCAGTGCTTCGATATGCCCAGTTGATGTTCAGTATATTATTTTAATAAATGCTTTGTTTTATTACTTGTAGATAATCCCACTGTTTCCGGCATGTCAGATATGGATTATCCTCTACAAGGACCTGGTTTGCTGTCGGTACCCAACCTTCCAGAGATCAGTTCCATCCGAAGGGTTCCTCTCCCACCTGAACTTGTTGAACAGTTTGGACGTATCCTTTTACCTTGTTTTTAACTCCCTAAAATTTTTAAAAATTAGTATTCTTATTCTAATTCTTGCTTTGTGTTTAATTGGTGTGTTGTATGTAAGTTCATTTAAGAGTTTTATTTAAAAAACATTTTAAGGGGCGCCTGGGTGGCGCAGTCAGTTAAGCGTCCGACTTCAGCCAGGTCACGATCTCGCGGTCCGTGAGTTTGAGCCCCGCGTCGGGCTCTGGGCTGATGGCTCGGAGCCTAGAGCCTGTTTCCGATTCTGTGTCTCCCTCTCTCTGCCCCTCCCCCATTCATGCTCTGTCTCTTTCTGTCCCAAAAATAAATAAAAAACGTTGAAAAAAAAATTTAATAAAAAACATTTTAAGTATGTCAGTAGTTTGCCATGTGCCTAGAAAATATCATATAAAATTGAGTGTTGAAAATTGAATCACATCTTAATTGTTCTTGGACATTGAAGAGAGTGAATCATTTACAAGGAATTCTGCATTTTTGAATGATATTATTGCAAGGTAGTACTTTCCAGTTAAGTGCTATCCAAGGAAGCCTTTTTACCCCATTTTAGCTTGAAGACTCCTGATTTTCATTTTTATTTTTTCTCATATTTTAACACTTTAAAACTGGGGTGTTGTTCTAAAAATGTTTAAAAACAAACAAAAACTGCCATGTGCTTCTTTTTGCCCATCCCCAAAAGTTTTTGGTATGGTTTGGCACTTAATGGTATCTTAGAATTAAGGTTTAGGGCTACCTGAGTGGCTCAGTTGGTTAAGCGTCTGACTCTTGATTTCAGCTCAGGTCATAATCTCGTAGTTTGTGAGATGGAGCCCCGCATCAGGCGCAGTGCTGAGTGCAGGGAGTCTGCTTGAGATTCATTCTCTCTCTCTCTCCTTCCCTCTCCCCCTCTCCCCCTCCCCTCCTCTCCCCCTCCCCCCTCTCCCTCTCCTCTCTCTCTCTCCTCTCTCTTTCTCTCTCTCTGCCTCTACCCTGCTCACACTCACCTTCTCTCTCAAAATAAATAAGATAAACTTAAAAAAAAAATCTTAAAGAATTAAAATTATAAGTGATTGCATTTCTAAGGATCACAATAAGAATGAAACACTAATGGAATCTTCATAGACTGAATTGCTAGAGGAGTTTTCTTACCCTCTAAAAAAAGATCTCATCTGATTCTTTTAAAGTATGGCATACCCTATAAAGGCATTAGATTTATAGTTATTTGCAGGGCGCCTAGGTAGCTCAGTCGGTTGGGGGGCCGACTTTGGCTCAGGTTATGATCTCATAGTTAGTGGGTTCAAGCCATGCGTCGGGCTCTGTGCTGACAGCTCAGAGCCTGGAGCTTGCTTTGTATCTTCCTCTCTGTCTGCCACTCCCCCACTCCTGTGTTTTCTCTCTCTCTCTCTCAAAATTAAATAAACATTAAAAAAAAGATTTATAGTTATTTGTTAGGAAGCTTCTGTATCAATCTATAGCTCTCATAATATAGACATTAAGATGATATGCTAAAATTTAATCTGAGGGGCACCTAGGTGGCTCATTCGGTTAAGCGTCCGACTTCAGTTCAGGTCATGATCTCATGGTCCGTGAGTTCAAGCCCCGCGTCAGGCTCTGTGCTGACAGCTCAGAGCCTGGAGCCTGCTTCCGATTCTGTGTCTCCCCCCCTCTCTCTGACCCTCCCCCATTCATGCTCTGTCTCTCTCTGTCTCAAAAATAAATAAAAACATTAAAAAAAATTTTTTTTAATAAAATAAAATTTAATCTGAGACTTTTAAAAATATATTAAACTATTTAAAGGAAAAGTGTTTCAAATTTCAGTACAGTCTGCTTTAGAAAAATAAAGGAAATGGAAAATTAAGAAAATAGTTATAAATAGAAAAACTAGTAGAATCTAATATTTTTCCTAAACTTTTCAGTATTTCTCTGAGACTTTGTAAAATAACGTTATTAAATATACAACACTTTTTATCCCATAGTCTATCTTTTCTTAGTTTCTTAATATTCTTTTTTTTTTTTAATTTTTTTTAAACGTTTATTTATTTTTGAGACAGAGACAGAGCATGAACGGGGGAGAGGCAGCGAGAGAGGGAGACACAGAATCTGAAACAGGCTCCAGGCTCTGAGCGGTCAGCACAGAGCCTGACACGGGGCTCGAACTCACGGACCATGAGATCATGACCTGAGCCAAAGTCGGATGCTTAACCGACCAAGCCACCCAGGCGCCCCAGTTTCTTAATATTCTTTAATCTTCTGATAATACCATGCAAAAAATTATCATTTAATTAAGAAATTATTTTATTTCACAATTTTTTCTTCATCTTATGATTACATAATGTAATTCTTTGTCTATTTTTCAATTGCACTATATATAAGAAGCTTGCAAATTGTCACCTGGCCTAACTTTAGCATGCCTTATGTTTGTTTTTTTTTATCACTCTTGCTCTTATGCAGTTGGGAGAAAGTGGTCCAGTAGAACAGTTTTTTCATGTCAAAATTTAATGGTGTTATTCATGATCAATATTCGTCTTTAATAATGGTAAGAACATTATATTTGTCCTTTAAAATACATTTTAAGTGGTCAAATGGCATTATTTAGGAATTGTAAATTGCAGGTTTATTTCTGTCATACACTATGTCTTTAAACTCATTAGAAATCAAGATGTTTTATTTGCTTTTTCTTCTTTTTAAAAATTTTTTTTAATGTTTATTCATTTTTGAGAGACAGAGCATGAGTGGGGGAGGGGCAGAGAGAGAAGGAGACACAGAATCCAAAGCAGGCTCCAGGCTCTGAGCTGTCAGCACAGAGCCTGATGTGGCGCTCGAATTCATGAACCCTGAGATCATGACCTGAGCTGAAGTCAGACACTTAATGGACTGAGCTACCGAGGCACCCTTTATTGCTTTTTCTATTAAAAAGTGGACAGATCATGATTTTTTAATCATAAATTTTAAATCAAAATCTTTCAAAACAAGCTTAAGAAAGAGAAGATTGAAATCTTTTTGCCTTACATCCACACTACTTCAGATATGCAGTGTAACTGCATGATGGGTGTGTTCCCTCCTATCAGCAGAGCTTGGCTCACAATTGACAGTGACATATTCATGTGGAACTATGAAGATGGGTATGTATTTAATGCTGGTTTGCTTTAGCATGATTAGAAGTTAGATTATCTTAATGGCAGCTAGTATTCTACTCATCAGAAGCTGCCTGGTTTATTTTTCGTTCAGCTAACATCTGGGTCAGTGCTTCTCAGTATGCATACTGATCACCTGAGAATGAGGTTAAAAGTGCGGATACTGTTATAGTACTTCTGAGTGAGCCTCGAGAGTCTGCATTTGTAACAACCTCCCAGTGATGCTGCCAGTCTAAGTACCACTCTGAGTAGCAGGGGTCTAGTTTCCAAGCTCTTATCCTCCAGTAAGATAATCTGTTAGTAGTTTTTTGAGAGATGGTTTGACATCTTTAAAGACCTGTATTTTTGATGCATTTTTATGAATTGGGAGGCTCTTAATTCATTGAAGTGACTAAACAGTTTTATTCCATGAGGTTGGCCATGTGTAATTTGAGTGTATATAGTAATCTGAGTGATGGCTCAAGACATTCTTGCTAAAATAGTTTATTGATCTGGTAATCTCACTCTGGCTTTTTGAAGATAAATTTTGACTTACTACCATTTCTCTCTCATAATGTCTTTAGGGGATTAGTGGGATAACCAGAGGAAGGCCCTTGTAGTTGTTTCTCTTGCCCTTGGGTAATTAAAGCACCTGTTAGGAATGCACACACGCGCGCACACACACACACACAATCACTGAATTAAAGTGATACTAAATGAGAACTTGTAGCTTAAATAAAAATATTTTTGTTCTCTGATTTTTTTTCATTTAGAACTTTTCATAGCTATTTTTTATGGTTGAACTGTTATATAGTTCTAATAGCAGTGATGTATGGTTGTGATTTTTCTTCATATACCCTGAACTTCAGTTGCTTTTATTATTGTAACATAGTCGTTTTGATACTAAGGAATAAAACAACTTCATTTAGGTGTGGATCTATTTAGAAAAACAAACACAAAAAAAATTATGTTATAGACAAATGTAAGGATGATTTCCTTAAAAAGGGTTTCTCTTTAATGAAAATTTCTGTATTTCCATCAACATGTAATGTATCCATGTAATAAAATGTTTAGTTTATTATGTATCAGACACTCTTTTGTGCTAGGAACAATATTGAATGTGGTAAGTGTAGCTCCTGTCCTCATGGAATATACACTCCAACCTTACCGTGTTCAAACTAGAACTTATTTAGAGAAAAATTATTTGAACAGTGTGCTTACTGAAAAAAATCAAGGCACAAATCCTCGGTATATAAATCTTTAGTTCACAAATTCAATTCTGCAAAAATGTTAGGTTTCATTTCAATTATTCCATTAGCTTTTTATTATAAAACCTAATACCACATGGATAATAGGAACGTAATCTTGTTCAATTCATTGTTCTGAAACACCTAACATCCCCAGTATTGGTCTTAGTTTCTGGAGGTTGTGCCAGTTTTCACAGCATGGGGAAATGGGAAAACCTGGTCCACATATGTGGCCATTTAGGAGTTTTCTTTCTGTTTGCTTGGCTCTTTTCAGGACAACCAGAAATTTTCTTCAAGGTCTGGATCATGTGTGTATATATATATATATGTATACGAATATATATGAATATCCCTCCCCCACCCCCCACCCCCCCGGGCATATTTATCCTACTTGGTGTTCTCTGAGTTTCTTGGATCTTTGGTTTGATGTCTTTCATTTTTGGAAATTTTTCAGTGATTATCTTCAAATATTTGTTCTGCCCCATTCTCTTCCTCTCCCTTCTGAGATTTTTACACTTCCGTTAGAGTGTTTGATGTTATTCAAAACAGATTTTGGATACTTTGTCCTGTTTTTGTTTCTCCATTCTTTTTGTTTGTTTCAATTTGGACAATTTCTGTTGACCCAAATTCAAGTTCATGGATTCTTTTGTTAAGTATGTCAAGTCTACTTAAAAAGTTCTTACAAGATGTTCTTTCTCTGTGCTGTGCTTTTTATTTCTAACATTTTCACTTATTTCTTGTAATTTTCATCTCTCTGCTGAAATTCCTTATTTGCTTATTTATATTGTCCCCTTTTTTCATTAATACCTATATGATAATCATTTATTTTAAATTTCCTGTCTTATAGTTCAGACATCTGTCTCCTAGCTGAGTCCATTTCTGTTGATTTCTTTGTTTCTTGACAGGCTTTTTTTTCCTGTGCTTTTTTGTGTCTCGTGTTTATTTTTAAGCCAGATGCCATGTGTAGGACAGTGGACACTGCAGTAAGTAGTGTTTATCCATCCTAAGATATGGGTATGTCTCTTTTTTTGCTAGGGCCTATCAAGTAGGTCTTTATTTCAGGGAAAGTTAACTTTTTCCAAGTCAAGAGTTGAGTTGAGTTTGGTTTTGTTATTGCTCTGGTTACCCTCAGTGGACCACAGGTTTCAAATTCCTTAGAATTACTTTGCACTTAGAATGTAGGTTGGGTTCCTAGAGACTTTTTCTCAGTGTTTCTGTCCACCCTCAGCCATAGGCTTTCCCTGTGAGTCTGTTCTTCTGAGAGGGTCTTAACCCAACAGAACTGCTATTACTTGAGATTTGCAACCTGGCTGAGGAGAAGTTTGGAATGGGGAGCAGCTGTCTCTGTTTGCCTGGTTTATGCTTAGCTTTAGACAGGCCTGTGTGCCTGAATCTTGGAACTGAAACAGTTTTGTTTGCTGGCTTATTTTTCACTACATCCTGTAGTCTTAAAGAATATTTTAGGATAAAACTTTGTTTTCTGTGTATGTATAACATGTTTTTCTTTACCGTTTGACAGAGGAGACCTTGCCTATTTTGATGGACTTAGTGAGACTATTCTTGCTGTGGGGCTTGTGAAACCAAAAGCTGGTAAGAAATAAAAATGTAATGATAATGTTTGTATATAATGGTTTAGAACTGAGTAACAGCACATTTTAAGTAGCTGAAATTTTTATCAAATATTTGTTCTGAATTCTAAGTAGAAACATAGAAAGTGATTAGGAATATTTAATAGTTTACTCACTTTATGGTAGAAATGAGTCTGTCTTTAAAATTATTAAATTGGGACACCTAACTGGCTCAGTTGGTAGCGCATGTGACTCTTGATCTCAGGGTCATGAGTTCAAGCCCCATCCTGGGTGTAGAGCTTACTTAAAAAATTTTGTGGGGACAGGGGAGGTAACCTGTGTGGCTCAGTTGGTTGAGCATGCAACTCTTGATTTTGGCTCAGGTCATGCTCTCATGGTTCATGAGTTTAAGCCCTGCATCTGGCTCCGTGCTGGTAATGCAGAGTCTGCTTGAGATTTTCCCTCCCTCTCTCTCTGCCCCACCCCTGCTGTCTGTCTGTCTGTCTCTCTCTCAAAATAACTAAATAAACTTAAAAAAAATTTTTTAGGGACGCCTGGGTAGCTCCGTTGGTTAAGTGTCCGACTTTAGCTCAGGTCATGATCTTGTGGTTTGTGGGTTTGAGCCCCGCATCGGGCTCTTTGCTAACAGCTCAGAGCCTGGAGCCTGCGTTGGATTCTGTGTCTCTTCTCTCTGCCCTCTCCTGGCTCACACTCTGTCTGTCTCTCTCTCTCTTTCAACAATAAGTAAACATTAAAAAAAAATTAAAAGAAAAATTTTTTTTAATAAAATTGTTAAACTATAATTTCTGCATTTTATCTTGCTTATTTTTTGTTACTCTTTGATGATTTACCTAAAGTTTTTTGCATTATACATTTTTCATCAGTTAGTAAATTTAATGTTAAAAAACCATTTTTGTCTCTGCGTTTTTGGCTTGTTTTCTTTTTGTGGGTCTTTTTTCCTTCTTGAGAGTGAGAGAGAGACTGATTGCCAGAGCACACTCAGAGGAGGGGCAGAAGGAGAGGGAGAGAGAGACTCTTAGCAGGCTCTGCACCCAGCACAGAGCCCCACAAGGGGCTTGATCTCACCACCATGAGATCATGACCTGAGCTGAAATCAAGAGTTGAACATTTAACTGACAGAGCCATGCAGGCGCCCCATCTCTGCATCTTTTTTTTTTTTTTTTAGTCTTGATGTCCAATGGAAATGAAAAGAGAATTCAGAATAAATCTTAAAGAAGTGAGAAGTGGTGTTTAATTTAACAGTTTCAACTTCATTATACAGATTTTTTATCAGAGCTAATGACAAAATAATGGATTGATTTAAATTTAATACAGATTTGGGGCGCCTGGGTGGCGCAGTCGGTTAAGCGTCCGACTTCAACCAGGTCACGATCTCGCGGTCCGTGAGTTCGAGCCCCGCGTCGGGCTCTGGGCTGATGGCTCAGAGCCTGGAGCCTGTTTCCGATTCTGTGTCTCCCTCTCTCTCTGCCCCTCCCCCGTTCATGCTCTGTCTCTCTCTGTCCCAAAAAAATAAATAAACGTTAAAAAAAAAAAAAAAAATTTATAAAAAAAAATAAATAAATAAATAAATTTAATACAGATTTTTTTTTGATATATGAGAAATCTTACTACAATGGGAAATAGTAGACAAAATTGTTTGTAATGCCTGAATAAAATTTTGAGGTCACAACTGTTTTGAAGTTATAATTCACATGGTACAGACATGTAGTCTTAAACAGTTTGTGTGATTATATTATAAACTTATTTCCTTACCATGGAACCTCAAAGTATTCTCAATCCTGAGGTATGTATCTCTCTTTTCTTCATTTAAAAGTTTATTCATAATAACAGCCAACGACTGTCCCTGCCCTCTGTTGTAATAAACATAAATTGTCCGTCTAAGGTAAATACTAAAATTTTGTACTACTCAAACGTAAACTTCAGTGCAAAATTAAAATTATCCATAGTCTTTGATATGGCAACAAAGGTGTTATCTTTGATAATGAAACAATTCTGGCTTTTCTATCAGTAAGTACTGAAAATTTTGACTCTTGAATGTAATGTTAAAGCTGACGAAGTCCATATATTACTTTGCCTTTTGCAAGAAAATACTATTCTTGGGGCATCTGGGTGACTCAGTTGGTTAAGTGTCTGACTCTTGATTTCAGCTTAGGTCATGATGTCACAGTTTGTGGGATTGAACCCCTCGTCAGGCTCTGTGCTGTCAGTGCATAGCCTGCTTGGGATTCTCTCCCTCTCTCTCTCCCCCTTCCCCACATGCACACATGCTTTCTCTCTCTCTAAATAAATAAATAAATAAATAAATAAATAAATAAATAATAAAATATTTTTGAAGTTAAAGTCATTGTTTTCTTTTTTTATTTTATTTTTTTTAATGTTTCATTTATTTTTGAGGCAGGGAGAGACAGAGCATGAACAGGGGAGGGTCAGAGAGAGTGAGACACAGAATCTGAAACAGTCTCCAGGCTCTGAGCTGTCAGCACAGAGCCCGACACAGGGCTCGAACTCACGGACCGCGAGATCATGACCTGAGCCGAAGTCGGACACTTAACCGACTGAGCCACCCAGGCGCCCCTAAAGTCATTGTTTTCTAAGTCAGGCTTTTTGGCACGAGTTTGCTTTATTGGTGAATTCTGTGTAAGCAAGAAGAGTATGAATACATGTTTCAATTTTATGATTGTTGGAATAAAACATAGGAATTCTTCAGTGATTTTTAGCATTTGCAGGTTTTTGTCTACAAATTGACAAGGTTTAGTTATTTTTTGAGTTCAGGGAAGCATTTCTCATGTACTGAAAGATTCACATAGTTGTCTAGTTTCAATCTCCTCTTCTTGGGAGGTAACTTACCTGAAAGAGCTTATGGCTTTTGGACATTATTCATTATAGTGATTGTGAGTGATTAGTGGTTATGAGTCAATTTACCTCATCTGTATGACCCAGTGGGACTGCCACCAAAGTCAAATCATATGTAAACTCCTTCCTGGAAGTTATTCTTGGAATGGTCTTTCTTTGTGTTTCGAATACAGTAAACCTCCTACCTCAAATGTAGTCAGTTCTGTCTATCTATTTATTTAGAGACTGTGCAAGCGACGGGAGGGGCAGGTGGAGAGGGAGGGAGAGAGAGAATATTAAGCAGGCTCCATGCTTTGTGCGAGCCCAATATGGGGATCATTCCCACAACCCTGGGATCATGACCTGAGTCAAAAGCAAGAGTTGGATGCTTAACTGACTGAGCCACCCAAACACCCTTAGTCAATTACTTCTGGAAAGCCAGTGGACTTTGCAGTAGAAGAGAAGAGCTTTGTATTTTCATTTCTGAACCAACATCTCTTGAAAAGGTACCAATTCATACTGTCATTGAAGTTGCCTTAGAAGTTGAAGGTACCATTGGCCAAGTTTTCAGTGCCAAAGCATGCCTTTGTAAAAATGCAGTGAGTTATGTATGGTTCTGTTGAGTTTCTTCATCAAAGCAGCAAAAGCAGATGGGTTAGCAAAGGATCTTAAGTGCTTATATTTGTGCACAAGTATTACACTTTTTCTTTCAAAACTTTTTCAAAACCTTAAAACTTTTTCATTCAAAAGTAGTGAAATTTGGAACTGGTCCACAGACCTAAACAACTTATGTTAATTTCTAAAAGATGCTAATAAGATAATGCACTTTATAGATAAGAAGTGAAGGTTGACAAAAGGAAGAAATGTCAGTCATTTAACCTTGCTGCATCCTGAAGGGAGATGGATTCCATTTCTACCATTTTCTGTTGCAAAATACTTGAATAAATGATGAGAGATTTAGAGAAGATGACATCATTTGACAAGATACTACTTTCCTTACCTTTCTTTACTCAAAGTCGTAAACCAGCTCCATCATCCATAGAATTCCTACTTCACTAGAGTTTCTGTAATCAGAGATGACTTCTTTGGCATCGCCTGGTGACTGAATACTTTGAGATAAGGCTTCTATTAAGGAAAACATAAGTTTTCATAAAGTTTAGGCTTTTTAAGTCAGTTTTTCATGAAATATCAGGTATATTTTGAGTTCATTAGGTGGAAGATCTGTGCCTTCAGCCTAACTGACTGGAAGCTTGATACACAAAGCTGACTTTTGTACCCCTCAGTGTTCATCAGTGAAAGTAAAAGTTTTGTACTTTCTGTGGCATTATATACGTTTAAGCAGGCCAAAGGTATATACATGAAGAGATGTCCATAATTGTAACATAAGATATATTTCCTTTTATTCCTATCAGTAAGGCACTGTTTTTGGACGTTGTAACATGACGTGTCATCTCGTGCCTGTACGCATTTCTTAATGTTAATACCATAAAAAGAAAATAAAGTTAAACAGTACCTCAGCATGAATTTTTAAAAAAGCTTGCACTTGGTAATGTCCCCTCTGAAACTATAAATTATCTGATTTTGATATATAAATTCATCTGGGAAACTCATTTAATATATGAACTCATATCTGTTTCTATGAATTTGACTATAGGCATCTGATGTAAGTGGAATTATATGGTATTTTTTCTTTGTGACTGGTTTATTTCATTTATAATGATCTTAAGATTCATTCCTGTTACAGTATGTGTCTGAATTTCCTTTTTAAAGACTGGATCATATTCTATTTTATTGTATATGTAGACCACATTTTGTTTATCCATTCATCTGTTGGTGGACACTTGGATTGCTTCCACTTTTTAGGTACTGTGAATTATGCTGCTGTGAATGTGGGTGTACAAATAGAAAGCTTTATATTTTAATAAACAGACTATTTTATGCCATTCTGATTTTGGAATTAAAAGTTTTTTTTTAATACAGTTTTTAAAATTTATTTTGAGAGAGAGCACATGTGCATGCATGCAGCGGAGGCGGGGAGGCCAGAGAAGGAGGGAGAGAGAGAATCCCAGGCAGTCTCCACACTTTCAATGCATAGCCCAGCATGGGGCTTGAACTCACAAACTGAGATCATGACTTGAGCTGAGATCAAGAGTCGGACCCTTACCTGACTGAGCCATTCAGGTGCACCATGTAATGCTGATTTTAAATGGCATTAAATACTGAAGTGCTTCTTTTATTTTTTTAAAGTTTTTTTTTTTGAGAGAGAGAGCTTGCACGAGAGGAGTGGTAGGTTAGAGAAAGAGGGAGAGAGAGAATCGCAAGCAGGCTCCTTGCTGTTAGTGTGGGGCATGATGTGGGCTTCAGTCTCAAGAACCATGAGATCATGGGGTTCCTGGGTCATTCACTCAGTTAAGCATCTGACTTCGGCTCAGGTTATGATTTCACGGTTTGTGGGTTCAAGCCCCACGTTAGGTTCTGTGCTGACAGCTCTGAGCCTAGAGCCTGCTTCAGATTCTGTGTCTCCCTCTCTCTCTGCTGCCCCTTCCCCCTGCCCACTCATGCTATGTCTCTCAAAAATAAAAATAAACGTTAAAAAAAAAAAATAGAACCGTGAGATCAAGACCTGAGCTGAAACCAAGAGTCTATCGCTTAACTGACTGAGCCAACCAGGTGCCCCTGAAGTGTTTCTTTTTTAATATCGTTCTTTTTTGTATTACTATTTACTTATTTAAATGATCACAGGTAGTAATATTTTAACATCAAATTAAAATGAGTTCAGACATTTCATATACTATTTACATGATTTTTGGTTTTTTTTTTTAAGTAGGCTCCACACCCAACGTGGGGCTTGAATTCACGACCTCAGGATCAAGAGTCGCATCCTTTACCCACTGATTCAGCCAAGGTGTCCCCTTCATATACTATTTAATCACTAGTTCATTTTAATGATAAAGCCATTAGTCTGTTAATGCTTAGATAGTGGATGTGGATGTAATGGTAAAACCATGGTCTATTAGTGCTTAAATAGTGTAAGTGGAGTTTTTTTGAATAATCCCTAACCCATGTCTCCTCTCTCTTAGGCATCTTTCAACCTCATGTACGGCACCTGCTGGTTTTGGCAACCCCTGTGGATATAGTGATTCTTGGACTTAGCTATGCTAATTTACAAACAGGTATAGCAATCCATATGTGGTATTTTTTAAATAAACATGTTAGCCAGTTTAATGTAATTAAAAGCTAATGTTTTTGACTAAGTTAACTTTCCAGACTATTTGCTCATAGCAAAATAATATGTCCCCACAGGGATGGTACCTTTCAGGTTAGTAGCTTCACCAAACAAGTATTTTGAATACGTTTACCATATTAACATACACTCCTTAAATGTACAATATAAAATGGTAGTAAAAGAGAAACAGTTGACACTAGCGAGTTTTTCCAGTAGTGCTTTCAATTTCTTCGTTTCTAGTTTTTTGAATAGCCATTTTAACATACACAATACCGAAATGTACAATCTTTCCTTTAACATAAGAAGACCTTGGTTTATTACTAGTACATTCAGTGGTTTCTTTTGCATTGTGGCAATCTGGGTGAAATGTTGAATTTCAGTGACTCAAATTAATGATTATTACTATCACATCCTTAGGCTTGTTTGTAAAATTTAATAATTTGGGAGAGTTTTTGATGTTGTATAATGTTACATATATTAAACTTATTATATGTTATAAATTTTTTATGTATGTACATATTATAGATTCTATTTAACTTGAATAAATTGTATCAGACTTTTTACAATAATTTAAAAATTATGTTTTACAAGCTTTTGGATAGATCAATAAAAATTCAGTAAAAATAACAATTCTGAAGATAATGCAGTGATTGTCTCAAACTTTAAACAAGCTCATAAGCTGATTCCTGTGTTCTTTCTTTAAAAAAAAAAAAAATAGGTTCTGGAGTTCTTAATGACAGTATGTGTGGTGGAATGCAGTTGCTTCCAGATCCCTTATATTCTCTTCCCACTGATAATACTTACCTTTTAACAATAACTTCCACTGATAATGGCAGAATTTTCTTGGCTGGAAAGGACGGCTGTTTATATGAAGTAGCATACCAAGTAAGTCTAGCATTTATAAACATTTTTTTGTCTCTCTTGATTTTTTTCATTTTTAGGGATAGCTTTTGCTTTTGTTTTCTAATTATATAAGCGTACTAATAAATTCTTAGGGAAAGTATTCATACATACAGTTAAAACCATAGTCTTCCATGACTATACCATGCCTATGAAACCCAGTCCTCTCTTCTAGAAATAAATAGCATTATCAGTTCTGAATATTATTTTTTTAGAAAATGATCCACTGATAATTGTAACTATAGCTATGTATTTATGTATGTATGTCTATATATATACATACACACACACACACACACACACACGTATACAATTACATAATGTACTTTTCTGTATGTATGCTTTTACTTAGGTTATTACTTATTGTTACATAATTGGCTTCTCACTAAATCGTTGCTTTGTGATTACTGCATATTTGTCTGTAAAATGCAGACAATTGTTAACAATTTTCTTCTTTTTTTTTTTAATTTTTTAAAAATTTATTTTGTAAAAGGGGGGGGGGGGGGGAGAGAATCCCAAGCAGGGTCTGTGCTGTCAGTGCAGCCTGAATTTGGGCTCGAATTCATGAACTGTGAGATCATGACCTGAGCCAAAATCAGGAGTCAGATGCTCAACTGACTGAGCCACCCAGGCGCCCCTTAGCAAATCCTTTCTTGATGGATTTCTGAGTTTTCAGTTTCTCTCTTCACAAATAATGCTTTTGCAGGCCTCCGTTGTATATGTGTAGATACTTTTTTGTTTAGAGACTTTTAATTCTAATGGTTGGGTTATAGAGTATATGCATTTAAAATTGTATTTTCATGTTTTCATATTGCCCTCTAAGAGTTTTAGACTCTTAGCAGACTTCTGTGAATGTACCCCACCACCAACCCCCACTAATGCTACTATTATCAAATTTACTAATTTTGGCTGATGTGATTAGAGGGAAATTTTTTTTTTTTTCTGGTTGAGTTGAGGGAGGATCTTTTCATGTATTTATGGTCATGTATGTTTTCTCTACTCTGAAATGCCCTTTTATGTCTTATCCCTATTGTATTACTGCCTTTTTCATAAGGTAAATGTTAGGGAACTGATAAAGTAACATTCTTAGAGTCACATAATTAGTGGCAGAGCTAGGACAACAACCCTGGTCAGCTGTGTTTTTTATATTGCATAGTATCTCTTACCCATTTTTTCTTGGCTTTGTTCATTATCAAAAAAGTAGGGAGGGGCACCTGGATGGCTCAGTTGGTTGAGTGTCCGACTTCGGCTCGATCATGATCTCATGGTTCAAGAGTTTGAGCCCTGCATTGGGCTCTGTGTGGGCAGCTCAGAGCCTGGAGCCTGCTTTGGATTCTGTGTCTCCCTCTTTCTCTGCCCTCCCCTGCTTGACCTCTGTCTCCCCCTCTCAAAAATAAATACTAAAAAAAAAAAAAAAAAAAAGGTCTTGTGTGGCAAAAGTCAGTCATTGAGAAGTACACTGTAGATTGTGATTGTGATGGCTGCTGTTGTTAAAATTTCTTTTTAGCTGAAGTGGGAAGAGATGATACAGGTACCTCTCTCCTGTGTTCTTTGAGCTCTTATAAACTGCACTTACTTGCTTTACTACTTTTATTTTTTATTTATTTAAAAAAATTTAAAAAAAAATTTTTTTTACATTTATTTATTTATTTATTTATTTGTAATTTTTTTTTCAACGTTTATTTATTTTTGGGACAGAGACAGAGCATGAACAGGGGAGGGGCAGAGAGAGAGGGAGACACAGAATCGGAAACAGGCTCCAGGCTCTGAGCCATCAGCCCAGAGCCCGACGCGGGGCTCGAACTCACGGACCGCGAGATGGTGACCTGGCTGAAGTCGGACGCTTAACCGACTGCGCCACCCAGGCGCCCCAACATTTATTTATTTTTGAGAGAGAGCATGAGCATGGGAGGGGCAGAGAGAGAGGGAGACACAGAATGCGAAGCAGTCTCCAGGCTCCGAGCTGTCAGCCCAGAGCCTGATGCGGGTCTCAAACTCACACACTGCGAGATCATGACCTGAGCTGAAGTCAGATGCTTAACCAACTAAGCCACCCAGGTGCCCCTATTTTTAAATATTTATTTTTGAGAGGGGTGGGGAGGGGCAGAGAGAGGGGGAAATACAGAATCTGAAGCAGGCTCCGGGCTCTGAGCTGTCGGCACAGAGCCCGACGCAGGACTCAAACCCACAAGCCCTGAGATATGACCTGAACCGAAGTTGGATGCTTAACCTACCAAGCCACCCATGTGCCCTTGCTTTACTGCTTTTAAATAAAAGAATTTTTAAGATAACTAAAATATGGGTGTATTAACAGCACTGTGAGGTTTTGAAATAGCTGATTTCATTGAGAGCAGTGATATGATTATGGCTAACTACATTTTCTGTTTTTAATTAAAGGACTAAACAATATTCTGAATAGTATGTCTATTGACAGTTGTTGGTATTTCATTACCATCTGAGGATTTTTGTACACATGGGTATATGGTAGTTGCTTTGATGGGTGTACCTACATTTACAGGTCTTCCTTTCAATTTTTCCTTTTAAGGCAGAAGCAGGTTGGTTTAGCCAAAGATGTAGGAAAATAAACCACTCAAAGAGTGCACTTTCTTTCCTTGTTCCTTCATTGCTACAGTTTACATTCTCAGAAGATGGTAAGTAGAAAACAATAAATTTGGCAAACAGTTTTTTTTTTAACAGATTGTTGACTTCACAGTTTTCTTCAGAAATTCTTTTTTTTTTTTTTTTTTTTTTTTAATGCTTATTTATTTTGGGGCTGGGGAAGCAGAGACAGAGACAGAGAATCCCAAGCAGGTTCTGCACTTGTGCCTGACTTAGGGCTCAGACTCACAAACCATGACATTATGACCTGAGCCCAGATCAAGAGTTGGGCACTAAACTGACTGAGCCACCCAGGTGCCCCCAGAAATTCTCATTCTTAGCTGAAAGTTTGTCTTATTAAATAACATTTGGTATATATTCATAAGGTGTTTAAAGGAAGAAGAGATTATAAAATAGACAGTGTTGGTTTTATTCCCAAGTTCCTATGAATGTAGCATCACAGAGCATGGGTCTAAAACAGCTGTATGTACTTAAACCAATACTGTGTATATGTGAGAGAGAGAGAGAAACCTCTAATACATGTTTTGTCTGTCTAGAAGAAATTGAATATGAGTAAATGAATATATCTGAGTTTTTAATAGAATTAGAGATTTAGGCAGGTGAAATAATTAAAAACTAGTGAGATAAGATAAATACATTCAGAAAACATTGTGACTGAAGTTTTAAGCTTTTTCCCTTCACACAGTGATTCATTAAACTAAACTGGAAGTTTCTTGAACACACTGAGTATAATTATTTCTGTGTTTCTAGCATATAGTAAACAGTCATTAAATGTTGGATGAAGAAATAAGAATAATGTAGAGTTTTTTTTGTCTTATAGATCCTATTCTTCAAATTGCAATTGATAATTCTAGAAATATTTTATATACACGATCTGAGAAAGGAGTAATACAGGTAAGTATTAATATTACACTGCCATTTAAGTGGGGGGGAAGAACATCCCTGTTTTTAAGAAGGAGATTCAGTTACTCTTAGCCTTTTCCTATAGGCTGTGTGCTTTTTTAAAAAACTACTTCTCGGGGTGCCTGGGTGGCTCAGTCAGTTAAGCATCTGACTTCAGGTCATGATCTCATGGTTTGTGAGTTCGAGCCCCACGTCAGGCTCTGTGCTGACAGCTCAGAGCCTGGAGCCTGCTTCCGATTCTGTGTCTCCCCTCTCTCTCTGCCCCTCCCCTGCTCAGGCTCTGTCTCTCTCTGTGTCTCTAAAATCAATAAACGTTAAAAAAAAATTCTTTAAGGGGCGCCTGGGTGGCTCAGTCGGTTAAGCGTCCGACTTCAGCTCAGGTCACGATCTCACGGTCCGTTGAGTTTGAGCCCCACGTCGGGCTCTGGGCTGATGGCTCAGAGCCTGGAGCCTGTTTCGGATTCTGTGTCTCCCTCTCTCTCTGCCCCTCCCCCGTTCATGCTCTGTCTCTCTTTGTCTCAAAAATAAATAAAACGTTAAAAAAAATTAAAAAAAAATCTTTAAAAAAAACTACTTCTCAGGGTCCCTTTATTGTGAAATTTTAAATCTCTGAATGTTACCAAATCTGTTTGAAGTGCCACAATTAAAGGATCCCTGAAAAGGAGGAGTCTCTTTAATAAAATATTACTTAAAAGATTATTTTGTAAAGTACACATGGGTTATAGTTATGTTTAAGTGGATACAATTTTTTATTCACAGGTTTATGATTTGGGCCACGATGGACAAGGAATGAGCAGAGTTGCCTCAGTTTCGCAGAATTCTATTGTCTCTGCTGCTGGAAACATTGCTAGGTAATATGTAATTTATTGTCAGACATTTCATTTACAGGCATAGTTAAGCTATTTGTGTACAGCATACTAAGATTCTTTTCTCTTCAAAATATCTCTTAAAGATCAGGAATGCTGAAGGAGATGACATTGGAGGCTCTGTTTGAGCTACTAGAGAAAGACTCTTAATTCTGAAGTTGGATGGTTTGAAACAAGGCAGACTGGTTTTACAGTGTAAAGTACAGTTTGACATGTTTAGGTTGTCTGTACAGGCAATTACAGGAGTTATGACTAAGAAACTACATGCCTCAAAGTTCCCCACTTGTAAACACTCCAACCTTTTAACAGGCCTGCGTTGTATAAGATTAGTTGGTCTGATAATTGACACAAGTGCCCTTTGGGAATACAGGAACTTTACAGTCGTATTGTCCGCATTGTATTCTTGAGGAAACTAAAACTAATGAGTGTGATGATTTATCTGAAGTGTGACTCCTCAATAAATACTAGAATCAAGGCTACAGCCAAGTCTTCAGACACTATACACTATGATTTACATGTATCACAACTAATTTAGCTCAAGTGAGAAAATTCTCTTATAACAAAGGCCTCAAATTTTCAGCTTCAGTTTTCTGTGTGCTTGGGTCATTGCTGCATTGAGATATCCTAGTGAAAAATCAATGTTTTCTTTGCTTTTCAGTGACAAAAAAAATTCTCAAGGCAGACCATCTAAAACAAAGTTTTTCCTTTTTCGGCTCCCGAATTTTTTTTTCTTTTTCTTTTTTCTTTTTTTTTTTGAATTGTTTTCAAATCCCAGAAAAACTAGAAGAGCAGCATGGTAAAAACTGATACACCCTTTATCCAAATTTAACAGTTGTTAACCATTTTCCCTTATTTGCTGACTTTCTTTCTTATGAACTACTTGAAAGTAACTTGCAGACATGACTTGACATGACTTTCCTCCTTTTCTGTATTTGTCTTTTTCATTGTCATTAGATTAAAAAAATAGACAATTTTTTTTTTTGGCCAGTATTACATAGATGATGTGAACTCCTTGTAGTGTTACATCAGTAGGTACCCATTACCAGTTTTTGCACTATGGAATACTTGGCTAAGGTGCTGTTTACCAGGTCTCTCTGTTATAAAGTTTCATTTTTCCTTCTTTTTAATTAGTGGTAATCTTTACAATGATAATTTGATGCTCTGAGAACCCCTTGTTCCTCATTAACCATTTACCCAATGGAATTAGTCTTTTATGATCTTTCAGAAAAGGGTTACTTGTAACAATGTTAATGTAAACTCATATTCAGGGGTTTTTGCTGGCGCTTGCTGCTGTTGTATTAATTTTCTAAGAAGTTAGTCTTATTTTAGCATATTTAGATGTTTAGTAGACCATTTTAAAAATAAACTTTAGTTTTTTTCCTTTCTTGTAGGACCATAGATCGTTCTGTTTTTAAGCCAATTGTTCAAATAGCAGTGATTGAAAATTCTGAATCGCTGGATTGTCAGTTACTGGCAGTCACACATGCAGGTATGTTGTTTAATTCATATGTCTGCTATTGCTGTTAGAACTTGATAATCTTCAGATTTGGAAAATTATTATTAGAAATATATTTTTACTTGTGTATTAATTATCAAGCAATATTAATAACTCATTAAGTTAAAGATTTTGAAAATTAGAAATTTTTCCCTGGTTCTTTCTCCTCATTTTATAGATGTAAAGCTAGGCCTAAAAAGTAAAGTGGCTAATATTCAGTGACAGAGCCTGAATAGGAACAAGGACTCCCTTGGCTTAAAATTGCAGATTCTTTCTACTAAAATGTGTTGATTCACCTGTCAGTTCCAAGTGAGCTTCTTAGAAATCTACTTCAGGTCATATTACACATGAGGACTTTGCATCAGTCAGGAAAGTGATGTGTGGCTTTAACAGGTGTCTGGTGTTACTCTGTGGAATTGCTTCAATAACACATATACCTCGGGATTTTCATTTTCTGTTACTGATGTATAATTTTACTCCATCATCAGGTGTAAGGTTATATTTCAGCACTTGTCCATTCAGACAGCCATTAGCACGACCTAACACATTGACACTGGTTCACGTTCGCTTACCTCCTGGATTCTCAGCATCTTCAACAGTGGAAAAACCTTCAAAAGTACATAAAGCACTTTACAGTAAAGGTAAATTCTGAAATACTATCAGATTTAAGATTGTTTTTTTTTAATTATTAAAATTAGAATGTCTTTTGAGCCATTTGAAAATAACAAATTTTCCAATAAAATTTAGAATGTTTTAGTTTTTTACCTTAATTATGGTTTTAAAACCTAGAACCTTAATGGACTTAAGACTGATGTCACTAAAGTCAATATAAAGGAAAGAAGTTAGCGGGAGGGGCTGGAATTGAGCACAGCAGACTAAATTTCAAAATCAAACTGTCATGTCAACTAGTATTGCTGAGATGATGCTTTTATAGTCTTTTTTATCTCTGCCTTTCCACTAGTTTAGCTTCATCATTTTTATTCATGATGTGTTTGGAATAACCAGTACATGAATTTCTATTTCATTGAATATTAGATACCATTGACTGAAAGTGACAACATTTTTATGTACTAAATATGCTTTTTTAAAGTTAATAATTCATAAGCCCATTGATTACAAACTATATCCTAACTTTAGAAATTTTAAGATGTTGGGGTACCTACTAGTTCAGTTGATTGAGCATCTTTTTTTTTTTTAATTTTTTATTTAATTTTATATTTTTAGTTTACATCCAGGTTAGGATATAGTGCAACAATGCTTTCAGAGGTAGATTCCTTAATGCCCCTTACCCATTTAGCCTATCCCCCCTCCCACAACCCCTCCAGCAACCCTCTGTTCTCCATATTTAAGAGTCTCTTATGTTTTATCCCCCTCCCTGTTTTTATATTATTTTTGCTTCCCTTCTCTTGTGTTCATCTGTTCTGTGTCTTAAAGGCCTCATATGGGTGAAGTCATATGATATTTGTCTTTCTGACTAATTTCGCTTAGCATAATACCCTCTATTCCATCCATGTAGTTGCAAATGGCAAGATTTCATTCTTTTTGATTGCTCAGTAATACTCCATTGTAGATATATGCCACGTCTTTATCCATTCATCCATTGATAGACATTTGGACTCTTTCCCTACTTGGGCTATTGTTGATAGTTCTGCTATAAACATTGGGGTGCATGTGACCCTTCAAAACAGCATACTTGTATCCCTTGAATAAATATCTAGTAGTGCAGTTGTTGGGTCATAGGGTAGTTCTACTTTTAATTTTTTAAGGAACCTCCATACTGTTTTCCAGAGTGGCTGCACCAGTTTGCATTCCCACCAGCAGTGCAAAAGAGATCCTTTTTCCCCACATCCTTGCTAACATCTGTTGTTGCCTCAGTTGTTAATGTTAGCCATTCTGACAGGTGTGAGGTGGTATCTCATTGTGATTTTGATTTGTATTTCCTTGATGATGTGTGATGTTGAGCATTTTTTCATGTGTCTGTTGGCCATCCGGATGTCTTTGGAGAAGTGTCTATTCATGTCTTTTGCCCATTTCTTCACTGGATTATTTGTTTTTTGGGTGTGGAGTTTGAGAAGTTCTTTATAGATTTTGGATACTAACCCTTTATCTGATACGTCGTTTGCAAATATCTTCTCCCATTCAGTTGGTTGCCTTTTAGTTTTGCTGATTGTTTCCTTTGCTGAGGTCCCAATAGTTCATTTTTGCTTTTGTTTCCCTTCTCTCTGGAGATGTGTTGGGTAAGAAGTTGCTGCGGCCAAGATCAAAGAGGTTTTTGCCTTTTCTCCTCAAGGATTTTGATGGCTTCCTGTCTTACATTGAGGTCTTTCATCCATTTTGAGTTTATTTTTGTGTGTGGTGTAAGGAAGTGGTCCAGGTTCATTTTTCTGCATGTCGCTGTCCAGTTTTCCCAGCACCACTTGCTGAAGAGACTGTCTTTATTTTTATTCCATTGGATATTCTTTCCTGCTTTGTCAAAGATTAGTTGGCCTTACATTTGTGGATCCATTGCTGGGTTCTCTTTTCTGTTCCATTGATTTGAGTGTCTGTTTTTGTGCCAGTACCATACTGTCTTGATGATTACAGCTTTGTAATACAGCTTGAAGTCCGGGATTGTGATGCCTCCTGCTTTGGTTTTCTTTTTCAAGATTGCTTTGGCTATTTGGGGTCTTCTGATTCCATACAAATTTTAGAATTGTTTGTTCTAGCTCTGAGAAGAATGCTGGTGTTATTTTGATAGGGATTGCATTGAATATGTAGATTGCTTTGGGTAGTATTGACATTTAGAAATATTTGTTCTTCCTATCCAGGAGCATGGAATATTTTTCCATTTTTTTGTGTCTTCCATTTCTTTCATAAGCTTTCTATAGATTTTTCACCTCTTTGGTTAGATTTATTCCTAGGTATTTTATGGTTTTGGGTGGAATTGTAAATGGGATCGATTCCTTGATTTCTCTTTCTGTTGCTTCATTGTTGGTGTATAGGAATACAACTGATTTCTGTGCATTGATTTTATATCCTGCAACTTTGCTGAATTCTAGCAGTTTTTTGGTGGAATCTTTTGGGTTTTCCATATACAGTGTCATGTCATTTGCAAAGAGTGAGGAGCATTTGACTCTTTATATCAGCTCAGATCATGATCTCACGGTCATGAGATCAATCCCTACATTAGGCTCTGCATTGAGCCTAGAGCCTGCTGGGGATTCTCTCTCGCCCTCTTTCTCCCTGCCCCTCCCCCACTTGTGCTGTCTCTCAAAATAAATAAATAAGCAAACACTTTTAAAATAGAAAACTTAAGGGGCACCTGGGTGGTTCAGTTGGTTGAGCATCTGACCTTGGCTAAGGTCATGATCTCCTGGTTCATGGGTTTGAGCCTCACATCAGGCTGTATGCTGACAGCTCACAGCCTGGAGCCTGTTTTGGATTCTATGTCTCCCTCTCTCTCTGTGCTCTTCCCCCAGTGTCTCTCTCTCTCTCTCTCTCTCTCTCTCTCTCTCTCTCACACACAAAAATAAACACTAAAAAATAATAGAATCATGGGAATCTACTCCCGAAACCAAGAGCACACTATGTACACTTATATACTATAAGTGTACAAGTACACTTATACAAGTGTATACTTGTACTATATACACTATATACGCATGTTAGCTAACTTGACAATAAATTATATTTAGGGAAAAAAAATAGAAATTTTAAGATGTGAAAAAAGTGTTTACCCAAAAGAAATGAAGTAGAAGATCTGGAACACTTGATGATTCTACCCTACCAATAATTATATGTCCTTTTAGGGGATTAATTTTTGTTTATTTTGTAACTTATTTACTTATGGTGATGCACGTTATGTATATGTGTTATATGTATTAATATTAGTAGTAACTAATATTACTAATTAAGGTAATTAGGGATGCATATTATTTGGCATTCCATAAGATTTTGTGTTTTAAACTTTAGGTATTCTACTGATGGCAGCCTCAGAAAATGAAGATAATGACATTTTGTGGTGTGTTAACCATGATACATTTCCTTTCCAAAAGCCAATGATGGAAACCCAGGTAAGTTATCCTGAGAATCTTAAGGAACTTTTTATATATTTTATAATATTAAGTGAAGAGTAAAATTGTAAGAATCTTTATGTTGTGATATTTATCTTGAATACTCATATATGATTAGAAATTGAAAATAAGTGAATTCTGTTAATTCTTTGTTTTTCCTCTGAGGTTGGTTAATCATTAAAACTATGTTTTGACATTGGAGCCCTTTTAGAATGGTTTTCATAATGTACCCCAAAATGCATGTTTTTTCTGAAATGACTTTTGTCCCATTTAAATATACTGGATTTTCAGTTATTTAATTATGAGGCCATCCACTATAAGTTATGACTTAGAATTTTATCTTAATGATGCCTTTAATTTATAGTTCTGCCTGCATTCAAAAATTTGTTTAATTGTAGAAATTTTCAAGCGTGCACAAAAATAGAATGATAAATTGAACCCCCATAATTAAAGAATTACCAACCCTTTCCCCATCTTGTTTCATATCTCTTCCCCGCATATACAAATGTACACACACAAACACATGGTTGTGTTTTAAAAGCAGATATCACCACATACTCCATGATGTCGACACGGAGTTCCTAGGTAAGGTTTGCCGCCCCGGCCTGCCTTGGCCCAGTCCCACACCTGGGCTGCTCATCTCAGCCCTCAGCATAGAAGGAGCTAAGGAGAGGCCAGTGCCACCAAGAGTATGGCTAAGGGAGCCATCTATGCTCCTTCCCATTGGTATCCCCTATTTACCCCTATCTGTTAATCCTAAATGCCCTCGCATAACCCATGCTGCTTGGCCCCTGAGGATGCTGATCAAACCAAATAAATATACTCCTTTTGGAATCATCTCTTTTTTTTTTTTTTTTTTTAATTTTTTTTTTCAACGTTTATTTTTTTTGGGACAGAGAGAGACAGAGCATGAACAGGGGAGGGGCAGAGAGAGAGGGAGACACAGAATCCGAAACAGGCTCCAGGCTCTGAGCCATCAGCCCAGAGCCTGATGCGGGGCTCGAACTCACGGACCGCGAGATCGTGACCTGGCTGACGTGGTTGCCTTAATCACTTGGGCCTCCCAGGCGCCCCTGGAATCATCTTTTTAAAGGCATTTTTTGGGGGCGCCTGGGTGGCACAGTCGGTTAAGCGTCCGACTTCAGCCAGGTCACGATCTCGCGGTCCGTGAGTTTGAGCCCCGCGTCGGGCTCTGGGCTGATGGCTCAGAGCCTGGAGCCTCCTTCCGATTCTGTGTCTCCCTCTCTCTCTGCCCCTCCCCCGTTCATGCTCTGTCTCTCTCTGTCTCAAAAATAAATGTTGAAAAAAAAAAAATTAAAGGCATTTTTGGTTCCAGCTGCTGCCAACTGCTTCCTGGTTATTCTCAAACTTAAGCCCTTTTAGTTTTGAGGAGCAGGAAAGGTATGTAGATGACAGGAAGAAGAAAGCATCCCCAGGGATGGGGGCATGGTTTGAATGGGCTCTTCCAAGTTTCTGACATGGCCCAGGGAGCTGGGGTAGAGGGTAGGTATGGAAGCAAAAAGCATTTTTCTCATTCTTTTTTTTTTTTTTTTTTTTCCCCATTATTGAAGCTTTACTGAGCACTGACTATGTGTCTCATCCTGTGGTAGACTGTGAGGATTCAGAACTCATTAAGATACAAACCTTATCCTGATGGAAGCACATTGTTAGAAAGTGCAGGTTTGAATTCTGGCTCCCATTTCCTTAAAGCTGTGGCTCAAAGTGTTTAATGTATCTGTGGTCCTCAATTACTTTGTCTATAATAGGTATAAGAATACCTACCTTTGTGGGTTTGTTGTAGGATTAAATGAGTTCATGTGTGTAAAGCACTCAGCATACTGCCTGGCATATATGAAGCACTCAATAAGTGATTAAAAATGATAACTTATTTTTTTTTAGCAAATACTATGCATCGTATCCTTTCATTTGTATAATACTTGTTCCCAAATATGGACTTTTAAAAAGAAAAACAGTTACCAAATATAAATGTGTAGTGCATGGACTTTAACCAAATTATACTCTCCCCAAAACAGCTGTATAAGACATTAGAACAATGGGGAAATTCTGTATTGACTGGGCATTAGGCTATTGTTAACATTCTTAAATGTTACAGTAGCATGGTTATCTAAGAAAACACCCTTATTTTTAGGAGATGCATGGAAAAGTATATAGCAGTGACATATGTCATTTTCAAATGGTTCAGTTAAAATATATATATATATATATATATATTTATATATGGCAAAATGCTAATAGTTATTGAATCCAGGTATTGGGAATATAGACATTTATTGTGCTTTAAACATTTTTAGAAGTTTGAAATTTTTTATAATAAAAGTACTTTAGAAAATTAAAACACTTTAAAAAGAAGTAGCTTAAAAAGAAGTAGCTTAGAAAGCAAAAACTTCAGAAGAGAACAAAAATCTGTATGTCAGCAAAGGGAAGTATTAAACCTATCCAATCTATCCTGGAAAGATGGTAGGATATAGTTTTTGGTTATTGAAAGAATTGTAATCCTAGTAAATACTGTTTACAGTTAATCTATTCTTTTAAATTAAGTTTATGTATTTATTTTTGAGAGAGAGGCAAGAGAGAATCCCAAGCAGGCACCATGCTGCCAGTGTGGAGCCTGACCCTGGGCTCCACTCCATGACTGCAAGATTATGACCTGAGCTGAAATCAAGAGTCGGACACAACCGACTGAGGCACCCAGGCACCCCTGTTTACAGTTAATCATAAGAAAATTTTGCCTCTGCCTTCTAGTATGAAAGATTATTGTCATAGAAGATGGCCTTATTAGAGGAATAGACAGTAGAACGTTAAATAGAAACTTGAGAATGTTCACATTAATGGGTTATTAATTTATGAAATTCTGCATTTTCTTAGAGATTAGACCTATATATTTTCCTTTTTAGAAGGTTTTGCTTTATGTAACTTTAATAACAGGTATAAAATGTTTATTTCTTCTGTGTAGATGACAACCCGTGTTGATGGTCATTCATGGGCTCTCTCTGCAATAGATGAATTGAAAGTAGATAAAATTATTACACCCTTAAATAAGGATCATATTCCCATAACTGACTCACCAGTTGTGGTACAGCAGCACATGTTGCCTCCAAAGAAATTTGTTCTCCTCTCAGCACAGGTATGTACACGTTCTAAGGTGGGGTCAAAAAAGAAGCAGTGTTTAATGTTAAGATATTCTGCAATATTTGCTTAATAGAGTCATTTACTTAAGTGCTTCAGGAAGTTTTACTCTTAAAGATATTCTTAAGGAATAATTTGTTAAGTACCAAAAATGCAACAAAAAACTTATTTATAAAGTGTTATACTTTTTCTAAACCAGCATTTCTAGTACCAGTGTTGAGTGGCATAAAATAAAATAACCCAAGTTTTTTATAATTTTCACTTATTAAAAACATTGCTTGGCATTTGTTTTTTGAATACTAATGCATTAACAAAATTCAAATGGCATAACAGGGAGTATGCAGAGTAAATCCTTCCTTGCAGTTGAGGTCCCTTCCCTACAGACCCATGTATGTCATCAGCATCTGTGTGTCCTTCCAGAGGTGCAGATGTACAAACTATAAAATAATGGTAGCGTATTCTATACACTGTTTTATATCTTGTTTTTTATATTTCAGATATATACTTTAGAGATCTTTCCATATAATCATCTCATTTTGTGTTTGAAAGGTTTTCTTTTATATGCATGTGCCATATTTTATGAGGCCCCTATTAATGGATTATCTTTTGCTGTTTGTAATGCTACAATCTTGTGCATGTATCATTTTCTGTTTGTATGAATAAAGCTGTAGCACTGCATCTGCTGGGTCAAAGAATATGTGCATTTCTAATTTTGATAAATGTTGCCAGATTCCCCTGTATTCATACATATATGCATATACTCAATATTGATGAATATTGAGTGCCTATTTCCTTACATCTTGTCCCAACTATAATACATCATTTTATTAAGAGTAAGATGGACAGTCTTTTTAAATGTTTATTTTTCTATGAACTATCTTTTCCTATTTTATCGAATTTTCTTTTTCTTTTTGATTTATAGAAGCTCTTTATTAAGGAGACTTTTTGTAATTTTAGTGTCATATTTTTCCTAGTTTCTCATTTTGTTTATTGAGATTTTTCCCCTAGGGATAAAACATATAAGTAGTCAAAATTTTCTGTTATCTTTGGGAATTATGAAATTAGCAAAAAAAACCAAAAACAAAAACTTCCTCATTCTGGGGTGTATAAAAAGTTCACCTATAGTTTATTTCAGTACTAGTATAGTTTTATTTTGTCATTTAAATCTTTGATCTGTTTGGATTGTATCTTGGTGTATGATTAAGGATCCAGCATTTTTTTCTAAATGGACATACTTATGCCAACATGATTAATGGATAATCTAACTTTAATCCTCTGCTCTGAGGGACAGCTTTTATCATATTCTAAATTCGAGTATTTACTTGAACCTATATCAGAACTTTCTAAATCTAATAAGAAAACACTGACCTTCACCAAAGAATAAATCCCAAATTAATTTAAAAGGCTCTGGCTCTGTAGATACGACATTTTATAAACCTGTGTTTTATGCCTGGTGATAGTACATGCCCTGTGAACATGTCATGTGTCTTACAGAGCAGTGTTTTCTTCTTTAATTTTGTTTATGGACGTATAGATCTAGTATAGATTGGGAATTGAAATGTAGATGTTCCTTTTGACTGGTTTGCTTGGTATTCTTGAAGGGTTTTGTTTTATTGATTTTATTAAGTAAAATATCAGGGTCAGTTGATCCAGCCATGCTCTATAAATCTATTATTTATGTATTTATGTGGTTTTTTTTTTAACTTCTTAGGGGAGTCTTATGTTTCATAAACTTAGACCTGTAGATCAACTGAGGCATCTACTTGTGAGTAATGTGGGTGGAGATGGAGAAGAAATTGAAAGGTTCTTTAAATTACATCAGGTAATTATTTGTATTTTTTAAAAAAATATATTTTAGGGGCGCCTGGGTGGCGCAGTCGGTTAAGCGTCCGACTTCAGCCAGGTCACGATCTCGCGGTCCGTGTGTTCGAGCCCCGCGTCAGGCTCTGGGCTGATGGCTCAGAGCCTGGAGCCTGTTTCGGATTCTGTGTCTCCCTCTCTCTCTGCCCCTCCCCCGTTCATGCTCTGTCTCTCTCTATCCCAAAAATAAATAAACGTTGAAAAAAATAATAGTAAAAAAATAAAAAAAATATATATATATTTTAAAGGGGCGCCTGGGTGGCTCAGTCGGTTGAGCGTCCGACTTCAGCTCAGGTCATGATCTCGCGGTCCGTGAGTTCGAGCCCCGCGTCGGGCTCTGGGTTGATGGCTCAGAGCCTGGAGCCTGCTTCCGATTCTGTGTCTCCCTCTCTCTCTGCCCCTCCCCTGTTCATGCTCTGTCTCTCTCTGTCTCAAAAATAAATAAACGTTAAAAAAAAAAAATTAAAAAAAATATATTTTAAAAAATGAAACAATGGGAGTCAAAGCTCAATTTTATGTAAGTTAGGATCAAAATACTATAATTAACAGGCAATCTTAGCAGCCTTCCTTTAGTCACTATGTATATACTAATATTTGGGAGCAGTATCAATAGGTAAAGCTTATGCAGTAAACTCAGATTTTCATTTGTTATTGATAAGTTCTTATTAAAGTATACTAGTAAGAGACTGATTTTCCAACTTATATGATAAAACACAAGGCATTTACGAACAAATCTTTTTTTTTTTTTTGCCAATGACCTGAGGAAAAAATTAGGGGCAATAGTGATGGGGCCGTTAGTATTTCAGAGCCACAGCTACAATTGACAAGGTAAAACTCAGAAAGCTTAAGATCAAGAATATCAGATCAAAGTTAAATACAGAGACACTGGATTCAAATCACCAGCTCCACCACAAGGGCAGAGTACTTGAATTCTGTGGGCTTCAGTTTCTTCATGTGTAAAACATGCATTCGATAGGGGCGCCTGGGTGGCTCCGTCGGCTAGCTTCCAACTCTTGGTTTCGGCTCAGGTCATGATTTTAGAGTTCGTGAGCTGAAGCTCCTTATAGGGCTGTGAGCTGACAGTGTGGGGTCTGCTTGGGATTCTCTCCCTCTCTCTCTGCCCTTCCCACACATGCACGTGCTCTCCCTTTCTCTTGCTCTAAATACATACATACATACATACATACCAAAAAGTATGCATTATAGTAGTATATGATGTGGGGATTGACATATGTTGTCCTCTTAAAATAGTACCTGGCACGCGACAGGTACTCAATAGATATTAGCTACTGTTGTTATTTTCTAAAAGGTAAAAAGACCATGAGGAAAAAAAATTAGGGGAATAAACTAAAATAGAATCTAGATAAAAAGAAAACGAAAGGACCCTTTAATGATAGTGTCTATGATAAATTTTCTCCTTTTTCATACCACCTGATCTCATTCACTTAGCAAATATATATTGAGCACCTGCTCTGTGCTAGGCACAGACTTAAACACAGGGTACAGCAATAACCAAAACTTCTTTGTAAATGTTTATGTTTGGGGCGCCTGGGTGGCACATTCGGTTGAATGTCCAAATCTGGATTTCAGCTCAGGTCATGATCTCTCAGTTCATGAGATGAGATCAATCCCCACATAGGACTCTGCTGACAGCACAGAGCATGCTTGGGATTCTCTCTCTCCCTCTCTGTTCCTCCCCTGCTCATGCTCTCTCTCTTTCAAAATAAACATTTAAAATAAAATATAATAGATAAATGTTTATGTTTAATATAAGGCAAGTTACTTTTTTTTTTTTTTTTTTTTAACAGGAAGACCAGGCTTGTGCAACTTGCCTTATCCTTGCTTGTTCCACTGCTGCTTGTGACAGAGAAGTATCTGCATGGGCTACTCGGGCTTTCTTCAGGTATATGTCCGTTTTCTTTTGTTCTTGCCCACTTTTTTAAGTGGTTGCATTGGCCAGCATGATGGTTTTTAAGGGCTTGCCAAACAGTTGAGGAAGTACTTAGGCAAGTTACTAAAATTCTTTTGCAAAAGGTTGAAATCTGGAAAGATTATAACACTAATGGAAGTTGCTAGATTAGCACAATGTATGAATTGTTACCCTTGCTCTAGGTAACTTCTGTCTAATATTCTTTTTTCATCTCTTTCTACTCCAGTTACTATATCTTTTGTATTTCCTGAAACACTCTACCGACTCTGCTTTATTTGTATCATTGGCATTGAGGGATTCTGAATCACTTTAAGGAAACTTGGTATCAAAGAAATATTTTTATTTGGAAAATATTTAGCTAAAGATAAGAATTTGAAGTCTGATTTGTTTAAAACAATTTTTCCAGTGCTGTCTAACCATAATCTGTATAAAAATTACAGTGTCATATACTCTTAAGTAAATTCTGGATAGTACTGACCCTTCTTAGAAATTGCTAGAGTCCCTTATAATTCTTTCTGGTAGAGATTCAAGTCAACATTTATTAAGTATTATAAATCTATGCTTATATGTAAGCATTATAAACACAATACATAAGTCTCTAATGTTTAAAGGATTTATTTGGGAGCTAAGCAAGACTTGGAACAATTCCAGCTTTTAAGGTGGATAATTTCGCTGAATAAGATTAGCTTTTTTTGTCACAAAAACAGGTATGGTGGTGAAGCACAGATGAGATTTCCAACCACTCTCCCTGCTCCAAGTAACGTGGGTCCCATCTTAGGGTCTCCTGTCTACGCTAGTGAGTATGAAACATTGAAATGAGACTATTTCTTTTTTTTTTTTTTTCAATATTTATTTATTTTTGAGAGACAGAGCACCAGTGAGGGAAGGGTAGAGAGATGGGGGAAGGGACACAGAATCCAAAGCAGGCTCCAGCCTCTGAGCTGTCAGCACAGAGCCCGATGCAGGACTCGAACTCACGGATCGCGAGGTCATAACCTGAGCCAAAGTCGGACGCTTAACCAACTGAGCCACCCAGGTGCCCCAAAATGTGACTATTTCTTTTTTTTTTCTTTTAATTTTAAATATTTTTATTTATTTTTGAGAGAGACAGAGTGGGGTAGGGGCACAGAGAGAGGGAGGCGGAGGCGAGCTCTGTCCTGAGAGCAGAGAGCCCAATGGGGGTCTTGAACTCACCAACCGCAAGATCATGACCTGAGCCAAAGTCAGACACTCAACCAACTGAGCCACCCAGGTGCCCCGAGACTATTTCTAATAGTTTGAATTTTAGAAACTATGTAGTTTCCATATAGCATATTTTAACGAACAAACCTTTTCATTATATCTTGTTTACTGCTACTGTTTTATTGGGTGAATAATTCTATAGATGTCCAACTCTTGAAAGTGATGATATGGTAACATTGAGTTCTTTATGTTAGAGAGCAAATAATACGTAACCGGTGTATTTACAGAACTCGTTTGACATTCAAAAGGAAGGAGGTGAATGATATAATGAGTAAACTCCCACCTCAATGTTTTCCAAAGTGGAGATAGTTAGAAAGTTCCTGAGAAATAGGAGTAGTCTCTAAATCTTGAATATGTCACAGATGGTACCACTCCTCACTCGTGCTTAGAAACAGCTTCTCTAATTTCATCAGATTTAAAAGATTGAGAAATTATTTTATAAACCTTTATATTCTTTTTTTTCAGGTTCTCCTATTCCTAGTACTAGTTCATACCCAAATCCAACATTTCTGGGAACACCATCTCAAGGTACTTGTATTCTTTATTTTACATTGCTATACTATTTGAAGAGCTAACACTGTTATTATCCTTAATACTTAGTTAAAGATTAACTTGCCCTATTGTCTTGAAAATCGTAATTTAATACGAATCACACCCAAGCAAGTATTGACATTTGGCCATGAATGCCTTTGCATAGGAACACCTTTAGCTGTGTACCTGGAAAGCTCCTTATTTGGGTACCAGGATTTAATTAGCCATGTCATCTGTATAATTAGCTCTGTTTGACTCCCAGTTTAAGGAGTAGTGATTGCAAGCTTTCTTTCCTTTTATCCTGCAGGCTGACACTTGAAAGCCTACCTGGGAGCACCCATCCAAGTCTGAGTCTCTTCTTTTCAGGGAAAACCAAATTCAATATCTGTTTATACTAGTATTTTTGTAAATATTCTTACCTTTGGGTCTGGACACGCAGGCTTGGGTTATTGAGAATTCTGAATGTTTAAGGTTAAATTTAAAGGTTTGTCTTTATTATGTGCATACAAGGTATACACCCTCCTGCCATGTCAACACCAGTGTGTGCTTCAGGAAATCCAGCAACTCAGGCCGCAAGTATGACTTGTATGGCTGCACCAGAGATCGTGTACTCTGGAAAACACAATGGTATTTGCATCTACTTTTCTCGAATCATGGGGTAAGTTTTGTATGGAATAACCCAACTATTGCTCACCTTGTCCCATTTTGTGTGAATATTTTTAACTCTAAATTTGGGCCATCATTTATTTCTATTAAATTTTACTTACAGTTTTAGTTCATTTGTTCATTAATAAGATTGTATTTTATTGTTTAACTATTTTATCATATAACCACCTATATTTGTTGCTGTGGTTTACATATATGCATATGTATACACGTACATATTAATACGTAGTGTTCCAAACCACCCCATAACTCAGTGACATGTGTCTGCAAGTCAGCTAGGCAGTTCTGATCTTGGCTAGGCCCACTCATTTATATGCAATCAGCCCTGAGGTTGAAGAGAGCTCTGCTAGTCTTGGATTCGCACATGTTTAGGGTCATGTTTGTATGCTGGTCTAGAATGGCATCTGCTGGGACAGCTGGGTGGTTCTTCACATGGTTTCATCCTCTAGCAGGTTAGCCGGGGTTTATTTACTTGGTGGTAGCAAGGTCCCATGAAAAAGGGTAGAAATTGGCAAAGCCTCTTGATAACTGGGTTTAGATTTGGCTTTACCATCACTTTCACTTCATTCGCTGGACGAGGGGAATGTCTCCAGGCCAACCTAGATTCAAAAATAGAATCCAGGGGTACCTGGGTGGCTCACTTGGTTGAGCGTCCAACTCTTGATTTTAGGTCAGGTCATGATCTCACGGTTTGTGAGTTCAAGCTCTGTATCAGGCTCTGTGCTGATGGTACAGAGCCTGCTTGGGATTCTCTGTCTCCCTTTATCTCCACCTCTCCCCTGCTTGTGCGTGCGTGCGCGCTCTCTCTCTCTCTCTCTCTCTCTCTCTCTCTCTCTCTCTGTCTCAAAATAAACTTTAAAAAAGAGTCCATTGAAAAATGGGAAATATATTCCTTGTTATGAAAGGCACATCGAACTCATAAAGGATAGGTATAAGGAGGGATAAAGAATTACAACATTTTTGCAATTAGTCTGTCATATCTAGTTAATTGTCCTGTCTGCTGTGTATTTGTCTTAGATTTGAGATGTATGCTTTCATTTCAATCATTTGCTCAAAAATGTGAAACACTGCAGCACTCCTTTATAAGTTTGTTTTTGCATTATAAGCTTTCTTGTTTATAATTCACTGCCCATCGTGTTTTGATTTTTCTTCGACAGTATTATGTAAAATATCTTAGGTATGTCAGGTTTAGACATTTTCTTGTTTTCCATCTTTTGGATAACTTCATGAAATGTTAAATGAAATCATTGCTGTCCTTTAATAAATACATAGAGAGGAATTTAGTACATATTGTAATTGTTTTGTTTATACGGCATAATTGTTAAAACATTTTTTTATTTCAGAAATATCTGGGATGCTAGTTTAGTTGTGGAGAGAGTATTCAAGAGTGGCAGCAGAGAGATCACCGCAGTAAGTGTGTCGTATAATAGTATTCCATTGTTGCGATGTAACCAGTTTATGCTGTTAATTGGACAGATTGTTTCACATTTCTTGATGTTTAAAAAGATGCAGTGGTCGTTCTTTTGTGTACATGTCCAATAAACTCCTTGCCCAGGTCTGTCACTTATAAAATGATGAGTAACTTCCTTAATATTTCAGTCTGATACTTCACTAGAAAATGAGAATAATAAGACATCTTTCTCTTAAGGTTGTTGTGAGGGTTAAGCAGAATAAGTCCTAATACTTAATATTACTCAAAGCTACTATTTAGTGCTTTGCTTATATGCCCCCCCCCCCCAAAACTCCACAGACCAAGTACTGATTTCCATGTGTTGGTATACTTTGTAGAGTGCTTTAAAAAAAGATTCTTTAGGGGCGCCTGGGTGGCGCAGTCGGTTAGGCGGCCGACTTCAGCCAGGTCACGATCTCGCGGTCCGTGAGTTCGAGCCCCGCGTCGGGCTCTGGGCTGATGGCTCAGAGCCTGGAGCCTGATTCTGATTCTGTGTCTCCCTCTCTCTCTGCCCCTCGCCCGTTCACGCTCTGTCTCTCTCTGTCCCAAAAATAAATAAACGTTGAAAAAAATTTAAAAAAAAAAAAAAAGATTCTTTAAAACTTTGTATTAACATAAATTGAGGTAGTAAAATTCTTTTAACATAAAATAGAAATGCAATTTATTTTAAGCTTTTTCTTTTTAAATTGGAAAGATATCAAATATCTTTTCAATTCTGATACTCTTAAAAGTTCATGTTTCTAAGAATAAGAATGTATTTACTTAACATAGTATATGATTTCATTTATCTGAAGTTCAAGAACAGGCAAAGCTAACCTGTGGTGATAAGAAAAGTGGTTACCTGGGGTATGGAATAACTAATGACCAGGAAGGAGCATTAGAGAACTTTTTGGGTATTAGAAATATATTGTGGTCTGGGCAGTGACTGTATTAAAAACGTAAAAAGCTATCAAGATGTTTGTTTAAGGTGTACTGATTTTACTGTCTGTAAATTATACCTAACAAATCAGAGCAGGACAGGAGGGATGTGGTATCTAACCCTTTATTCTGGTCATGAAGCATAAATTGATAAATAATTATGTTTTTGAAGATAGGATACTTCAAAATTGAAAGTTTACATTGAGTTACAGATATAAAAGTATGTGTTTTACATATACACTTTTTCAGTGTTTTAAAACTTTGGAAAATACTTTTTTTCCTTACAGATTGAAAGTAGCGTTCCCTCCCAGCTGCTGGAGTCAGTGCTACAAGAACTAAAAGGTTTGCAAGAATTTCTAGACAGAAACTCCCAATTTGCAGGAGGACCATTAGGAAATCCAAAGTAAGAATAAATAAGATTTATTTACTCATTTTCCCTTTTTTCTCCAAGATATAGTTCACGTTTTAAAATTCTTTTAAATGTTTAGTTCAGTGGTTTTTAGTGTATTTATGAGGTTATGCAATTATCACCTCTATCTAATTCCAGAACACTTTCATCATCCCAGAAAGAAACTCTTAACCCATTAGCAATCACTCCCTGTCTTAGGCTGCAGTAACAGTAATACCATAGAATGGCTTAAACAACAATCATTTATTTCTCACAGTTCTGGGGGCTGCAAGTCTGAGATCACAGTGCCAGCATGGTTGGGTTCTGGTGAGGACCCTCCTCCTGGTTTACAGATAACTGTTTTCTTTGTGTGTCCTCACCTGGCAGAGAGAAAACTAGGTGACAGGTTCTCTGGTCTCTTCTTCTAAGGGTGCTAATGTCATCGTGGGGGCTTCACTGTTGTGACCCCATCTAAACCCAATTACCCCCAAAGGCCTACATCCTAATGCCGTCAGATGGGAACCTGGTGAGACACACTCGGTCCATAGCTCTCCCTGTTTCCCTTCCAGCTCCTAGCAACCACTGATCTGTCTCTATGCGTCTGCCGTATTCTGGGTCTTTTATATAAGTGCAAATGTGTGGCCTTTTGTTTCTGGCTTCGTTCTTTTATTCTGTTTTCAAGGTTCATATGTTTTAGTGTGTATCAGTACTCTGTTTCATTTTTCATTTCATCAGGTGATGCTCATTTGGTTGTGAAGCTTTTTCGTTGTTATGAATAAGGGTGATGTGAACATACCTGTAAAAGTTTTTGTGTGGACATGTTTAGGATGAGCTTTTTTTTAATTATAGAAATGGGTTTGTTGTAAAAAATTTCACTGCCCAGAAAATTTATGATCTGAAGTATAACATAAAATATCTTGATACTCATAAAATATCTCACTGTGCATTTCTTTAAAACTATATTGCAAACATAGCACTTTCACAGGTCCTCCCCCAGACAGTGGGGCCCGGATTTGGTAGCTGGTGCTGAAAGAAAACCCTTGATTGCCTCCTTGCCTTGGAACTATGCCAGTGGCAGCTGTCACTCAGTGGGACAGAGAGACTGTTCTGTGACATCATATTCAACATTGTACATTTTCTCCTGCTGTTCTAACCTTAGGTCTTCTCCCTAGATAGATAGATAGATAGATAGATAGATAGATAGATAAAAATAGATAAATCTGCAAATAGAGTCTAACTAGGCATACTTTTATGAAACATTATATGTACTTAGTGTATCTTTTAGAACATTCCAAATCAGTGGAATAAATTATTTTTATATTGGCTTCGTATTTTTCCATTATTTATAGGTGTTGGTGTACTTGTTTAGTAATCTTCAGATGAATTTTTTGGCAAGTAGAATTGGGTATGAGGGCTTTTTAAAATGTTGGTATGTAGTATTTAATTGTCTCATGAGAAAATTATACCAATTTTCTTTAATATTAACCTTTGGAACACTTTAACATATATATATATATATTTTTTTAATGTTTATTCATTTTTGAGAGAGGAAGAGTGCAGGAGCACGAGCAGGGGAGAGCCGGCCGGCAGGGGGGGAGACGGGGCACAGAGGATCCAAAGCAGGCTCTGCACTGTCAGCACAGAGCCCAATCTGGGGCTTGAGCTCATGAACCGTGAGATTATGACCTGAGCCACCCAGGCACCCTAAATTATATCTTCCATACAAATTGATTTCTTCCCTCTTCTGTTAACTTAGTTTAAGAGTCTTTATCTTTTAATAGGATAATTTAACTTCTTCCCTTGTAGTTGGCATTAGTTATATGTTTGATCTTATTCTCACATCCTTAATTTATGCTTTTTGTTGTGTTTTCTGTTTGTTTTTCTTTCCTTTCCCATCCCCTTATTTTACTGTATTGATCAGACCTCTCCCTATCCCAAACACAGACTTAGAAGTTTTATATATGATTTTCTTTCTCTGGTAGGTAGTTTTAAATTCTGAAAAATACACGTCTGTCAGCATTAATAATTGGACAGAAGCTATTAATCTTTGTTTTTTCCCCTGCCCTCCACCACTATCCTTCCTGGAAATTATCTGGAATTTTAGTTGTAAGGTGCTTTTGTTGTTGTTGTTTATTTGTTTTGTTTTTTCACATTATGTTCTTCTTTTAATAGTTCCTCAGTGTATTGAACTTTACAGTTATAACTGCAAATGTCTGTTAATTTTATACCCTGAACCTTTACTAATTTCTCTTTAGTTAGTAGTTTTCTTGCTGAGTTTTTTGGATTTTTTAAAAATTAATCCTGTCATCTGCAAATTGAGATAGTTTTACCTTTTTCCTGTCTATCTATAGTTGCTTTCTCTTGCCTGTGTAAGTTAATGTCTCCAACGCAGTGTTAAATAGTGGTGGAGATAAAGTGGGCATCCAGATCTTATTCCTGACTTTAGTGGGAAAGCTTGTAATGTTTCCCCATTAAAGAAGATGCCTGCACAGATACAATTTATCATACTAAGAAAGTATTCATCCATTTCTGTTTTATTGAATATTCATATAAAATGAGTATTGGAGTTTGTCAGATGTCTGCATTTTTAGAGATGATTGTATTTTTTCCTTTATTAACAAATTTCCTAATTTCAACCAATATCCTTCATGTCTGCAACATTAGTCTCACTGAGTATTTTTTAATAGCTTCTTAATATGTAATTTATATGCCACAAAAATCACTTATTTTAAATGTTTGGTTCAACAACTATTAGTAAATATATAGAATTGTGCAGTCTGGGCACCTGGGTGGCTCAGTCGGTTGAGCGTCCACCTTCGGCTCAGTCATGATCTCACAGTTCGTGAGTTTGAGCCCCACGTTGGGCTCTGTGCTGACAGCTAAGAGCCTGGAGCCTGCTTTAGATTCTTTGTCTCCCCCGCTCTCTCTCTCTCTCTGCTCCTGTCCTGCTCAAACTCTATCTCTCTCTCAAAAATAAACATTAAAAAAAAGAATTGTGCAACCATCACCACAGTCCATTTTTAGAACATTTCCTTCAACCCCAAGACATTTCTCCTGTCCATTTGCAGTCATTTCCTCCTCTTAGTCCCAATTATTAATCTATCCTATCTCTGTAAATTTGCCTATTTTTAACAGGTCATATAAATGGAATTATATAACTTGTGGTCTTTAGAATCCAGATTTTTTTGCTTAGCATATTTTGAGGTTCATGTTCAAGGTCCGTGTTGCAGCATAAATCTGTACTTCACTCCTTTTTATTGCCTAATGGGTATGGAATTGTAAGGTCGTAGTCATTTTTTTCAGATCTTTGTTTACAGTTTGTTCCATTTTCTTCCTAAATTTTTATATTGCAGAGGAAACGTGCATTACTTTTCTGATTCTCTTTTCTCTGTAAATAGTTTGTGTTAATTTTGAAAATTTTTATGCTGTTTCTATTACTGAAGATTTAGCAGTTTTCCATAACATCTTTACTATGTTTTTCTTCACTGAGTGTTGAGAACTAAACTTCCTTAATGAGCATTTAGAACTAGACTTTTAAGCCTTGGTGAATTTTCTTTTATTATTTTTTAATGTACTATCTGATCATTTCCCTTCTCTTTGGAAAATCCTATCAACTCTCCTAGTTCTAGCCTCTGTTTCTTCTCTTTTCTTCCATAATTTCCTTCATTCCTTTTGTTGTAATGGTGGTCATTCTGTGAAGTACAGAATTCCTAGCATTGATGTTCTCAATCGTTAATTACATTTTATTTCTTTACTTAAAAAATTTTTTTTAATATTTAATTTTGAGAGAGAGAGAGACAGAGCATGAACAGGGCAAGGGAAGAGAAAGAGGGACATACAGAATCCAAAGCAGGCTGCACGCTATGAGCTATCAGCACAGAGCCCGATGCAGGACTCAAACCCACAAACTGAGATCATGACCTGAACCGAAGTCGAATGCTTAACTGACTGAGCCACCCAGGCTCTCCATCAATCACTTATTATATTTTAAATAGCATCTGTTCAGTTTCTCTGATAAATTTTTTTTCTGGCCATTATATTTTTAACTCTAAGAGCTCTTCTATTTTCCCTTTTTCATGGCAATTAACATTTCTAATGTGAATCCCAAATTTCACTAAGAATACAATTGATTTCTTTTTCAAGTTTTTCATATTTTCTACATTAGTTGTTTCATTGGGAGCTGTTGGTTTCAGCTGCCCAGCATAGTCTGTCTTTTCCCAGCTAATAAATACATTGTATCTGGTGATATTTTTCTGGCTATATTTAGAAATTAATGTATATACTGACTAGTATCGGTAACCAGTATAGATCTACTCAGCAGTTGTTGTCAGTGTTCAGTAGCAGATCATCATGTGAGAAAAATTCTTGTGACAGTTTCATGGCTAATTTTGCCCCAGAATATGGTAAGAATATGGTAGGAAGCTGAAATTAGGTCAAGTGCTAGATTTCAACTCTCAGCATGCCAGACTAGTGAAGCTGAGGTTTCTCTTTAAGTGAGTTGGGAGACTGTAGCAATGTCAACCCCCTGCATTGTTTAATGTACTATCATTTGGTTTCGGAGGAAATCTGAGCCTGGATGCTAGGGAGGAAATATGAGCCCGGATGCTAGGGCCAACCAGATGAGATGTGATGTTCGTTTTGTTTACTTTTTGCCAACGCTCTCTCCAACCCTTAGCAGTTGGATCTTAGGGTTCCCAGTTAGAGCGTAAAGTTGCCAGTGGACTCAAAGAAGGATCTATATTAGCAATAGGGTATTCCAGTGGATTACCCTGTTAGGTTAATCCCATCTAATCTGCCTACTCCCCCTTCCGCATGTTTGTGATGATAACCTGGATTTTGCTAAGGAGCAGTATAACCAGCAACAGTAGACCCTACTGTAGTCCTCTGCAGCAAATCCACCATCTTGCTTGTGGGCAGTTTACCTCACATAGAAGAAGGTATGTGATTAAACTCTGCCCAGTCACCCTGTGTGGTAGAGGAGACACACTTGCTGCACTGATGTCCTGCGTAATAATCATTTTAAATCCTCCCTTCAGTTATTTGGCTACCCTGATATTCATTTTATTTGAAAGTATGGATAAATGGTTACTTCTTTGCCTTTATTTGCCAAATTAATAGAATGAATTGGTTTCTAGCAGCCTTTAGAGATGAGCAGTTTTGGCTTTAAGGTACGTAGTAAAATCCACCCTTTTTCCGTGTGAGGTTTTAAGAGTTTTGGTGGATGCGTAGTGTCATGTAACTATCACCACAACCAAAATACAGAACAGTTCCATCCTGCCCCCAAGTTCTCTTGTGCTTTCTCTTGTATTCATACCCTTTTCTCACCCCTAAGCCTGGCCACAAATGAGCTCTTCTTTACCCCTCTACTTCGCCTTTTCTAATATGTCATATACATTGATTCTGGCTTCTTTTCTGTAGTCAGAGATTGATCCGTGTTGTTGCATATATCATTCCCTTTGAGAATGTCAGTCTTGTTTATTTCAGCAAGTAATCTACCTACTTAACTTCAGACCACAGGTTCTGCCTTGGATTCTGTGGGCACTGATTTCAGTATCAGCTTAGTTTTCAAAGCTGTTGCTGTACTCTTTAGGTCTGTCCCACGCATGAGCCTCTCAGGGTTATTCTGGGACTTGTGCAGTAGTTTATATCTCAGTTCAGTTCTTTGAGTCTTTGCTGTGCTTCTTTGAGTATGTTCCATATATATGGCTTCAGGGGTGAGCCCAGAGGTTGTGTTGATCATACACAGACTTAGGGGATCTCCTTTCCAGCCCCTTTTTGTTCTGATTTCCCACAAATTCTCTAGCTCCCAGGAACTCCTTTTACTGGTCCTCGGGATAGAAAGCTAGTATTCCCTTTCATTTTTCACTCCTTTGATGTCATAGTATTGTGGAAATGGTGGTACCTTTGGGGCAAATCGTCAAGAGAAAGAACTGATTTGCTTCAAACTTTTGGGACCACAAGCCCCCTTTTCCCAGTTTATCTGTTCCGGGGTTTCTCAGTCTCGGGACTGAAGACACTGGGGACTGGGTAATTATTCATTGAGGGGACTGTCCTGTGCGTTATAGGATGTTTACGAGTATCCTTGGCCTCTGTCTACTAGATACCAGTAGTCCTCCCCAGTCGTGACAGTTAGAATGTCTCCAGACATTGCTGCATGTTTCCTGGGAGATTTACTGCCCATACAGTTTTGTTTTGCTTCGTGTTTTGTTTTGTTTTGTCCATACAGTTTTGAAAGTCAGTTCACTTTTGAACAAAGCCGAAATAAAGGAGTACGGGAAAATCCCAGTATGAATGGCTTGTCGTTTGAGTTTTGACTTCCCCGCTAAGTCTGTTTGCACTTAACTGACTTTTCAGAGTCCTCAGTGAGTAGTTGCTCTTTGTATTCCATCCAGGGTTTTCAGTTTTGTAGTCAGTGAAAGAGGCTGTAGCAGGCTTACTCCATCTAGGCTGGTGCCATCAGTCAAGGTTTTTATTAATAACCATTATGAATACATGGTTTTAATGTATTTAGTGTGTTTCATTCACTGCAGATTGTTTTTGTAATGCAAGATGTCCCAATGTTTTGCCTCTTCAGTCTGCTTGAGTTTTGACGGTTTTCTGTCAGTATTTTGAGTTTTCTTTGGTAACTTCTTTGCTTCCTAATATGACAAGATGTTCTAGGTTCACTTGGTACAATTCCTGTCCTCTGCCTGGAATCAGCCATTTCTCCAGGGAACCCTGATTTCTTTTGGTAGGAAAGGGTGTTAAGGATTATAGCTAGAGGTGTTCTTTGCTACTAGTCATGCTGTATGTTGTTTTGTCTGTATTTTCTAATAAAATTGCGAGTTTGTACTGTTGTGAAAGGTTTAAAATTACAGGGTTTTGCTCCATTTCTTTTATTTTTGTATTGCTTTTTCCCTAAAAATCTTATTTTCTATTAATATTGACATAATCATTTGCTTCATCCTACATTATACCTACCATAGTTTCAATAGTCATATACTTTTAAAGTTAAAATCTTTTTTTTTAGCTTTCCAAAATTTTTTTAATATGAAATTTATTGTCTCTATCAGTTGTCAAACAAAAATTTCTCCTGAAAGTTCATCATTCTTTTCTTCACATCCCCTGAAGTTACATTAAGAGCTGAAGTATCAGATTCTTCACGCAACGAGCCCCAAATGCTCTTACCTGCTCATTTCTCTCAGTGGCCAGTATTACCTTACAGTAGGTTCTTTGCTTTTTACTTTTGTCCTGATGTTTCTTCATCTGTAAAATGGGATTCTTTTTTTTTTCTTTTAAAGTAATTAATTTTTTAAATTTACATCCAAGTTAGTTAGCATATAGTGCAACGATTTCAGGAGTAGATTCCTTAGTGCTCCTTGTGCATTTAGCCTATCCCCCCTCCCACAACCCCTCCAGCAACCCTCTGTTTGTTCTCCATATTTAAGAGTCTCTTATGTTTTATCCCCCTCCCTGTTTTTATATTATTTTTCTTTCCCTTCCCTTATGTTCATCTGTTTTGTATCTTAAAGTCCTCATATGAGTGAAGTCATATGATATTTATCTTTCTCTGGCTAATTTCACTTAGCATAATACCCTCTAGTTCCATACATGTAGTTGGATGGCAAGATTTCATTATTTTTGATTGCTGAGTAATACTACATTGTGTGAGTGTGTATACACACATACATATACATATATATATACACACGCATATACACACACACACACACACATATATATACTTTGGCTATTGTTGCTAGTGCTGCTATAAACATTGGGGTGCATGTGTCCCTTCGAAACAGCACACCTGTATCCCTTGGATAAATGCCTAGTAGTGCAATTGCTGGGTCGTAGGGTAGTTCTATTTTTAGTTTTTTGAGGAACCTCCAGATAGTTTTCCAGAGTGGCTGCACCAGTTTGCATTCCCACCAGCAGTGCAAAACAGATCCTCTTTCTCTGCATCCTTGCCAACATCTGTTGTTGCCTGAATTGTTAATGTTAGTCATTCTGACAGGTGTGAGGTGGTCTCTCATTGTGGTTTTGATTTGTATTTCCCTGATGATGAGTGATGTTGAGCATTTTTTCATGTGTCTCTTGGCCATCTGGATGTCTTCTTTGGAAAAGTGTCAATTCATGTCTTTTTCCCATTTCTTTGCTGGATTATTTGTTTTTTGGGTGTGGAGTTTGAGAAGTTCTTTATAGATTTTGGATACTAACCCTTTGATATGTTGTTTGCAGATATCTTCTCCCATTCAGTCAGTTGCCTTTTAGTTTTGCTGATTGTTTCCTTCGCTGTGCAGAAGCTTTTTATTTTGATGAGGTCCCAGTAGTTCATTTTTGCTTTTGTTTCCCTTGCCTCTGGAGATGCGTTGGGTAAGAAGTTGCTGCAGGCAAGATCAAAGAGGTTTTTGCCTGCTTTCTCCTCGAGGATTTTGATGGCTTCCGGTCTTACATTTAGGTCTTTCATCCATTTTGAGTTTATTCTTGTGTGTGGGGTAAGAAAGTGAGCCAGGTTCATTCTTCTGCATGTCGCTGTCCAGTTTTCTCAGCACCACTTGCTGAAGAGACTTTATTCCATTGGATATTCTTTCCTGCTTTGTCAAAGATTAGTCGGCCATGCATTTGTGGATCCATTGCTGGGTTCTCTTTTCTGTTCCATTGATCTGAGTGTCTGTTTTTGTGCCACTACCATACTGTCTTGATGATTACAGCTTTGTAATTCAGCTTGAAGTCTGGGATTGTGATGTCTCCTGCTTTGGTTTTCTTTTTCAAGATTGCTTTGGCTATTTGGGGTCTTTATTGATTCCATACAAATTTTAGGATTGTTTCTTCTAGCTCTGAAGAATGCTGGTGTTATTTTGATAGGGATTGCATTGAATATGTAGATTGCTTTGGGTAGTATGTAAAATGGTATTCTTAATAATATTTACCTTATACAAGTGGGAGTATTGTATTAAATCGGTGGAGGCAAAACAAGTGTTCAATAAAAGGAAGCTATTATTTATTATCCATCTATTCTCAGTGAAACTTTAAGCATCTCAGAGATTAAAATGCTTCAGTTTCAAATCATTATCATTGATTTGTCAGTGATTATTTCACTATTCCACAGAGGAAAAGAATATTTATAGTGTATTCTAGTTCATTTGTGTGAAATAACCAGAACAGGCAATCTTACAGAGACAAAGTAGATTAGCAATTACTTAGGGTAGGAGTAGGAGAGATGGAGATTGGCTACTAATAGGGAGTGGGTAAAAATATTCTAAAATTAGATTGTGGTGACAGTTGCACAACTGTATGGGTATATTTTGAAAAACTAAATTGTGTACTTTAAATGGTTGAATATATCTCAGTAAAGCTGTTGAAAACACAAATTCTGGAATTTCTGTTTTAGTACAACTGCCAAAGTGCAGCAGAGGCTGATAGGATTCATGCGTCCTGAAAATGGAAATACCCAGCAAATGCAGCAGGAGCTGCAGAGGAAGTTTCATGGTAAGTTATTCCTTCTGATCAGTTAACTGAACATGCCCCCAATAAAGAGTTCTATTCAGTGAATAGAAAACAGTGGACATCTCTCAATAAGATTTAGTTTTTTGGTAACCCAAATATTTTTTATTAAAATAACATCAGTATGGTTGGGAAAAGTGGGACAATATGGATCTCTTGTATTTCCATAACTTTCAACCCATTAATTTTTTTTCCTTTCCTTTACTAGAGAACATTATACACACCTGTGTTTAATGAGTTTTTAATTGTAAAATAGACATAAAATAGGGGCGCCTGGGTGGCGCAGTCGGTTAAGCGTCCGACTTCAGCCAGGTCACGATCTCGCGGTCCGTGAGTTCGAGCCCCGCGTCAGGCTCTGGGCTGATGGCTCAGAGCCTGGAGCCTGTTTCCGATTCTGTGCCTCCCTCTCTCTCTGCCCCTCCCCCATTCATGCTCTGTCTGTCTCTGTCTGAAAAATAAATAAACGTTGAAAAAAATAAATAAATAAAATAAAATAGACATAAAATTTACCATTTTAACCATTTTTAAATATAGAGTTCATTGGCATTCAGTACACTCACACTGTTGTGCAGAGGTCACCACTATCCATCTCCAGAATTTTTTCCATCCTCCTATACTAGAACTCTGTACTCATGAAGCAATTTCCCCTGCCCCAGCCCCTAACAGCCATCATTTTTGTTTGTTTTTCCTCTATGAATTCGAGTACCTTATATATCTCCTATAAGTGGAATTATACAGTGATCAGCTTTCAACTGGCTTCTTTCAGCTAGCATAATTAATGTCTTCAGAGTTCATCCGTGTTGTAGCATGCGTCAGAATTTCTTTTTAAGACTTAATGTTATTTCACTGTATGTCTATATAGGTTTCCCCTGCTCCCTGAAAGTGGAGTGTTCCTGGGAAACCTTTCATAAGCTAAATGACATAAAGTGAAGAAGCAATTACCATTCGTTGATATGGAAAAGGTTTTGAGCATTCCCAGACACAAAAAATAACCTTTCTTAGGCTTTTCTGTTCCTTAAGACACATTTTTTTAAAGTTTACTTATTTTAGTAATCTCCACACCCATCTTGGGGCTCAAAGTCACCACCCCAAGATCAAGAGTATCAGGCCTTTCTTTTCTTTTTTTCTGTTTTTAATGTTTATTTTTGACAGAGAGAGAGAGAGAGACAGAGCATGAGTAGGGGAGGAGCAGAAAGAATGGGAGACACAGTATCCAAAGCAGGCTCTAGGCTCTGAGCTGTCAGCACAGAGCCCTACATGGGGCTCAAACTCATGGACCACGAGATCACAACCTGAGCCGAAGTCGGAGGCTTAACCGACTGAGCCACCCTGGTGCCCCAGAGTATCAGGCTTTTCTGACTGAGCCAGCCAGGCGCCCCACCTTAGGACACATTTAGAGATAAAACACAGATGCCCAGAGACACATTTCAAAGCTATGGCGGTTTAACGCTGAGATGCTGTGTGTGGTTTCTGGGGAGGGTGCTTGGAGGGGTGCATGCTGCTTCTATAATGGCTCACTGCAAAACCAACAATGAATGCTGTTTTGGGGGTTTTTTCCATGAAAGCGAAAATCCTCTTTGAATTTCTTTCAGTTAATGATATGAGGTAGTAATGTAGATCTTTCATAGAAGCAAAGTGATGTAACATGAACTTTCAAAATGCAGAGAATACCTATACCACACTTTGTTGATCCATTCATCCGTTGTTGGTGGACACTGGGTTGCTTGCATCTCTGAAGCATTGTGAACAATTCTGCTATGAACGTGGTGTACAAATAGAAATTTTCAGTTCTTTTAAGTTCTTTTGTTATACATCCAGACATGGAATAGCTGGATCATATGGTATTCTGGTTTTTTTTGTTGTTGTTTTTTTTTTTTAATTTTTTTTTTCAATGTTTATTTATTTTTGGGACAGAGAGAGACAGAGCATGAACGGGGGAGGGGCAGAGAGAGAGGGAGACACAGAATCGGAAACAGGCTCCAGGCTCTGAGCTGTCAGCTCAGAGCCCGACGCGGGGCTCGAACTCACGGACCGCGAGATCGTGACCTGGCTGAAGTCGGACGCTTAACCGACTGCGCCACCCAGGCGCCCCTGGTATTCTGTTTTTACCACACCACACCACAATACTGTTTTCCATGCACCATTTTACATTTCTACTAGTAGTTCACAAAGTGTTTCAGTTTCTTCACATCTTGATTAGTAACACATTTTTCTAGAGTTAAAAATGTGAATTGAACTTTTTTTTGGTCTGTTATAAATAGTAACAACTAAGAACAAGGGAATGGGAAACTTCTAATCATCAATTATTCCAGAAAAAAATTGGAATAATTATAAATAGTTATTTGGCCTGCCATGCAGTTTTTTAAAAGTTTTTTTAATTTTATATTGTTTGAGCCACTTATTCTGACTGATAGAAATTTGCTAATTGAGACCCAGCCATTTACTTTTGTTCCTGCTAAATCTGTTTTCTGTTTACTGTTTTGTATATGTTTTTTTCATCATTGCTGTTGGTATTTCACTAAGGCCTTAAGCCTGACAGTACCAAACATTGGTAAGGGTTTAAACAAAAGGGAGGATTCAAATTGTTAGCAGTGTATACTGAAATGACTATTTGGAGATCATTTTGATCATATCCTATAAAAGCTGAAAATGTATATATTCAAAGCCAGCAGTTTCACTTCTAAGAATACATCATAAAGGAGTCTTTATGAGACTTTTTTCCCCACAGTGAGAAATAATTTTACAGTATGACCCTGATGTTTGAAAGCAGACACACACAACTGAAACAAAACTGTAGGAAATAACTACCTGTTTTATACTCTAATATTTCTTTTCTTTTTTATTGTTTCCTTTTTTTTTTTTTTTCCTATTTCTTTTTAAGAGAAAAAACGCTGTCATGCCTGACTGGTTTCATGGCTCACCAGTTTGTCTTACTCTGTGTGTGTGTGTGTGTGTGTGTGTGTGTGTGTGTGTGTGTGTGTGATTTATTTTTAAAATTTTGGTTAACATACAGTGCAATATTGGTTTCTGGATCGCCAATTTATCTTTATTGTTTTTTGCCAGTTTATCTTAATCCAGGGTTTAAACAACATAATCCTAGAAAAATCTGACTGTGCTTTCCAGAGACCTTTCTTAAGGATGTTTATTACACTATTGTTTTAGTAGCAAAGCATGGGAATATAAATATCCTTAAGGAGGAAGATGGACCCAACTGTGGTATACTTACATGATAGAACATCTAGTAATACTAGATTTATGTTTTTTAATATAGATAGCCTGTGAAAATACAAGTGGATGGAAAAAGCATCAGTTTGAATTGTTTAGAAACTGCAGTGTTTTTGTCGTTTATGTGTACACACATGCACACAGAAGCACATATACATAATGACAGCGTGAAATCATGAGTTCAACAAGTCATGATCATGGTTACCTATGATAAGGGGAGGGAGGAGAACAATGAGGATTTCACCTTTAACTGTAGTTGTTTTTATTGATGTTAAAGTGTTGCCTTACTTTAAAATGAACTATGTCATTTTTTAAAACTTCATTAGTTGTGTTTTGTAATTAGAGGCTCAGCTGAGTGAAAAGGTTTCACTTCAGGCAATCCAGCAGTTGGTTCGAAAATCATACCAGGCTCTGGCTTTATGGAAACTTCTTTGTGAACATCAGTTCACTGTCATTGTAGGAGAACTTCAGAAGGTAGGATTTTTTTTCCCCTTAAGATCATACTGTTAATACTATGCTTATTTGTTTTCTTTTGAGTGAGCTTTAGTCTTACACTTGGGTTTGAGAGGGGGTTATTTTCGGAAGTATTTAGGTTATGATGACAGTGTGTTATAGCAAGATTGCACTAAAGCATGAAAACTTGGGGGATCCACTTGGTCAAAACTGTAAGTTTTTACAATACGTGAGAACTTTATCTTGGTATGTGAATGAAATCTTTACCAAAGATTTTTTTTTTTAATGTTTATTTTTGAGAGAGAGACAGAGCATGAGTGGGGGAGGTGGAGAGAGAGGGGGAGACAGAAAATCTGAAGCAGGCTCCAGGCCCTGAGCTGTTAGCACAGAGCCTTGAACTCATGAACCGTGAGATCATGACCTGAGCCGAAGTCAGAAACTTAATCAACTGAGCCACCCAGGCACCCTAAAAATATCTTTTTAAATAGATTATAACCTTGGGGCGCCTGGGTGGCGCAGTCGGTTAAGCGTCCGACTTCAGCCAGGTCACGATCTCGCGGTCCGTGAGTTCGAGCCCCGCGTCAGGCTCTGGGCCGATGGCTCAGAGCCTGGAGCCTGTTTCCGATTCTGTGTCTCCCTCTCTCTCTGCCCCTCCCCCGTTCATGCTCTGTCTCTCTCTGTCCCAAAAATAAATAAATGTTGAAAAAAAAATTAATTAAATAGATTATAACCTTTATTTGGACTTCAGATCCTTTTGGCAATCTGATCAAAACTCTCCTCACCCTCAAAGAATGCATACAGACACATACACAAAATTTTTGCATGTAATTTCAAAGAGTCCAATGAGTTAAACTTTTTTTTTTGTTTTTTTTTTTTAATTTTCTTTTTAATGTTTATTTTTGAGAGAGAGACAGAGAATTCAAAGTAGGCTCCAGACTCTGAGCTGGCAGGACAGAGCCCGATGTGGAGCTCAAACCCATGAACCATGAGATCCTGACCTGAGCTAAAGTCAGACCCTTAACCGACTGAGCCATCCACGTGCCTCTAAACATTCTGTTTAAAGAAAGGTGTTTACCATTGTAAGAAATGAATGGTTCATATTTCTTTTGCTGTCCTCATTTGAATCCTTTTTAAGTATAATGGTAATTTGCATTTATATAAATGTTAGGCATTCCACTGGGGGGAATGTATTCCTATCTATGTTTTAATTGTGAACATTTCTATTTTTTTTTTTAAGTAGGCTGCACACCTGCTTGAACTCATGACCCTGAGATCAAGAGTCACATGCTCTACCTTCTGAGCCAGCCTAATTAGCCACCCCTAATTGTGAACATCTGTGAACATCTCTAAACATACACAAGAATAAATACTACATTACAGTCCCCATATACACTTTACTTGTATTCAGCATTTTCAAGATTTTATCAACTCTCATTAGTCTGTTCTCTATTTTCTTTACTGAATTACTTTAAGGATGATCCTAGTCATCGTGTCATTTCATGTCTATATACTTTAGTGTGTAGTTCCTTTTTTTAATGCTTAGTTATTTATTTTGAGGAGTGTGCAAGCACAGGGGAGGGACAGAGAGAGAACATTCCAAGCAGTCTTATCACTGTCAGTGCAGAGCCTGATACAGGGCTTGATCCCACAAACCATGAGATCATGACCTGAGCCGAAATCAAGAGTTGGATGCTCAACCAACCAAGCCACACAGGCATGCCTACTATGTATTTCTAAAAAATGGTGGGATGCAAGAGCGACCTGGCTGTGACATCTGTCAGCCCCATTGATCACCACTGTTGACTTGGCCTATCTGACTGGCTAAGCAAGTGTCCCATTCTTCCCTCAACATTCCATGTGCTTTCCTTTCAAAGCTGTGTGCTCAGAGGATGATCTTCCCTGATAGAGGAGGACTATTCTTTGGTCAAGGGTATATGAATAGCTGTGCTCCCCTACTAAAATCTCCAAACAAGCTCTCAAGGTCCATTTGTAGGAGAAGTAGGTGAGTCAAGCTTCCAAGGTTCCAGACATCCAAATGAGGCACTGTATTTGTATGTGGCAGTTTGCCTGAAAAAAATAATAAATAAATTTTTTAATAAAATAAAAATTTTAAAGGGACATTTCTTTAGGGCACCTGGGTGGCTCAGCCAGTTGAACATCCAACTTTTCATTTCGGCTCAGGTCATGATCTCACAGTTCATGGGATCATGCCCCAAGTTGGGCTCCATGCTGAGAGAGTGGAGCCTGCTTGGGATTCCCCCACTTTCCACGTTCTCTTTCTCTCTCTCTAAAAAATAAAAATAAAAGGTGGATGGGGCGCCTGGGTGGCGCAGTCGGTTAAGCGTCCGACTTCAGCCAGGTCACGATCTCGCGTGTCCGTGAGTTCGAGCCCCGCGTCAGGCTCTGGGCTGATGGCTCAGAGCCTGGAGCCTGTTTCCGATTCTGTGTCTCCCTCTCTCTCTGCCCCTCCCCCGTTCATGCTCTGTCTCTCTCTGTCCCAAAAATAAATAAACGTTGAAAAAAAAAAATTAAAAAAAAAATAAAATAAAATAAAATAAAAAATAAAAGGTGGACGTTTCTTTGAATAACAATTTTATTATCATATTTAGCAGTATTAACAATAGGGGCACCTAGGTGGCTCGGTCAGTTGGGTAAACATCTGACTCTTGATCTCAGCATAGGTCTTAATCACAGGGTCATGAGTTCAACACCGCGCCGCCCCCCCGCTTGGGCATGGAGCCTACTTAAAAAAAAGATAGATAGATAGATAGATAGATAGATAGATAGATAGATAGATAGA